CCAGTCATTGTCTTATGATCGATGCATTTAGAACATTCACGTTCAATGTAATGATTTAAAAGTTAGGGTAGGGGTTCCATTTGCCATTTTACTTTTTGTTTTCTGTTTTTGGTTTTTTTTTTTATTTCTCTAGGGTTTTTTTCCTGCCTTGTGGGTTACTTGGACATTTTTTAGAATTCAGCTTGCTTTGGGCATTTTTCAGTGTACCTTGTGTAGATTTTATTAGCAGTAGTGCCGGTTGTTACACTACAGATATGCAGCTCCTCACAGTATACTGCTAGTGCTCCTTTTTTTTTTTTTTTTTTGAAGATTTATTTATTTATTTATACAAGACCCTGGGTACAGGCCAGAGGTGCGGGAGGGTGAGAGGAGTCACCAGAGACAAAGTGGGGAACAGAACAGGCAGAATGACTGAAATCCACTGCTGAGGGGAGCAGCGGGCGAGACAGGAGAGGTCTGCCGCGCCATGTGGGTAGCTCCCTGGCGGGGCTTGAACTCATGCTGCAGAGGCTGCGGACAGCTCCACCGCGCTGAGGCCTAGCCCCGCGCCCCAGAGAGGCCCTACTGGTTTTGCTCTCTTGTCACTTTGAGTGACGTGTGGAGTCCTCGCCTCTTTAGACCTCTTCTCCTTTGATAACTGTCCCGTGGACCTGCTCCCGCGCAGTCAGGGCCAGTGTGGCCATGGGCAGCCCTGAAAGCTTCGCTGTCTCGGGGACGAGTTGTGGTGCACCCGGCGGGGGTGGGGGGCGGGTGAGCCTGTTGTGCTGCTGGTGTTTTTGCTCCTTCTGTTGGTCCAGTTTCCTGACGTGCCCTAGTTCCTTTTTCTAATTCTGTGCTAAGAATTCCTGCCTCTTCGTTTCGAGCAGATCTGCCGGAGCAAGTCGCCTCTTGCCGCCCCGGCTTCTGTCAGGAAACAGGTCGTCGCCCCGGGACATCTGTCTGTCTGGTCTTCTGTGGGCCGCTTGTTTGGGGCCTTGGCCCAGATTTCTTGGAGTTTATACGGTGTGGGGACCCGCTTGGTCTCCGGGATGTATGGGTTATGCCCCTTGACAAGGCAGAACGTTTCAGCCGCCGTTGGGCACCTTTGAGTGGTTTCATCTCATCTCGGTGCGCAGCAGCGACTGGGAGGCTCCCCCGTGGCCCGCCCCCCGCCCCCCACCCCCCGCGCGCCTCCCCTCCCCGCCGCTGCCGGCTCAGCGTTTCCAGCTCTGCTGCTCCCGTTTTCGGTCTTGAAGTTTCCAGTTGTTTCTCGTCATTTCAGTTATTTTTCATTTGCTCAGGCGTGTGCGTGCTTGTCTGTGGAAACGCGTCCGTGGTGGCTGTCGCAGAGCCCAGGTCGGAGGAGCCCCCGTCCGTGCCGTCCTGGCCCAGGCGTCCGCTCGCTCCTTCGGCTCTTTCCCTCGGAGAGTCCCCGGGTCTTGGGGTCATGAGTGTCTTTCCCTGTGCTCTGGACGCTTGGGGATGTTCCGAACAAGCGCGGAACCTTGAAGTCTTCCGCTGTGCGGGCCGCCTGGTACCACCTCGGGGGACGCCGCGCTGCTGCTGGAGGCGGCGCGCTGTTCCTGCCGGGAGAGGCTCCCGCTGGGCTCTGCCGACTTGGCCTTGGCTGGGACAGGGAGGGGTGGCCTCTCCCCACCTGGCATGTAGTGCTGCCACCCGGGGAGGGGGCTTAGGGTTCCTGTTTCTCGCACGTCCTCCTGCGACACTGGTGGGGTGGGCTCCTTGTGGGCCCTGCAGTGACTCCTGGGATGAAGGTCTCCCCTGCTCCCCGACACCAGGGGAAGGCACCCCTCAGCTGGGAGTGTGGCAGTCTGGGCTCCCATCATAATTGCTCTGGTGTGGGGTAGGGGTGCTGTGCATTTTTTAAGATTGGGTGGACTAGCGGGGTGGTGTCTAAAGCTTTTAGTCCTGTGCTTGGCTGAAGAGACCTGGATGTTTCTGGCCTGCCCCCGTGGACGTTCCTGGTTGCTGACTGGCGCTCAATATGGGGTCCAGGAGGCGTCTGGGACTCAGCGCTGCACGGCTGAGGGGCCTGAGGCCTCCTGCTCTGCCCTCCGCTCTCTGTTCTCCAGCAGAATCTCCGGGGTTCCAGCTGTGCTTCAGGGGTACGGGGCACCTCTGACTTGGTCTGCGGCTGGGAGGGCTGATTTATCTTTGCTCTTTTTTTCTCTTTACTCTTTATTTTAAATTCCCCTTTATTTTTCATCCATTTACCGCATTTTTTGGATATGTAGTTCATACCACACAAATCTTTTTTTGATCTGCCATACAAGTCTGCTGTTGAAAGTGTAAGATCCAGGGCTCCCCTGGTGGTGCAGGGGTTAAAGACAGCACTGTGAGGCAGTCCACAGCCTCTGCAGCATGAGTTCCATCCCCAGCCGGCCAGGGAGCTACCCACATGGCGCGGCAGACCTCTCCTGCCTCCCCGCTGCTCCCCTCCGCAGTGTACTTCAGTAGCTCTGCCTGTTCTGCTCCCCGCTCTGTCTCTGGTGAGTCCTCTCACCCCCCCACACCTCTGGCCTGTTCCCCAGTTCTTGTATTAATTAATTTTTTTAGAAAAAGAAAAGAAAAGAAAGTGTAAGATTCAGTACCTGAGTGTGTTCCCAGAACAGCACCCAGGGACCGAGTGAGAACACCCCAGCCCCCTCCCGCGCCCGCTTCTGTGGGCCTTCAAAGACGTGACCGCAGACCGGCCGGTCGGCCTGTGGCCCTGCAGGACTCCGGGCTGCTGTGAGTTGGTCTCGCAGCCGCTGCTGAGGGTCTTGCGGGGACAGCGCGTGTCTTGAGTGCTGGCTTTTGCCTTAGTCATACACACTTTTCTCCAAATCTTAAAAATTTTGCGGTTATAGTGATGAGCTAATAAATGCTAGTTAGAGGGTGAAACTTTCCTTCGCTATGACAGCTACGATTTTCAAGCTCTTCGAAAGTGCAGATGGTTCAGCGCTGGCCAGGCTGCCCAGGACTGCTTGGACTAGTCTTAAGGTCTGTAAGAATTCCCTGGAGGAGGGCCTGGCTCTCGCGAGTCTGTGACGTTCCTACGCCTGCCGGATCGGGAATGTTTCACGGCATTCTGTACAGCGGCAGGGGCAGCTGCAAGAGGCTGCGGGTCTGGCTGCCGGGCCGCGGGTCTTCATTCCGTGGCTGGCGTCTTTGCACGATTCAGCCTCTGCGGCTCAGCCTCGGGAGCTCGCCTCAGGCCACGCGGCGCAGGGCGGCATCTGTCCCGGGGTCTCCCCGCGCACTGTGGTGGGGGGGTGGGGGGGTGGGGGCTCTGGCCACCGCCTGGTCCACCGGGTGATACCGGAATTGTCAGGCCTAGTCTCTCAGCCAGGAATGGATCCCAGGCTGCAGGGCAGCGCTGAGCCCCGGCCACTAGGCCCCCACGGGTTGGTGTCTCACGAAGCCGCAGCAGGAACTTCGCAGACGCTCAGGCCAGCAAGCGAGCAAAGGCAGGTTTGTTTAGAAGAAGGAAAAGTTTATTGAGGAGGAAAAGAGCAGAAATAAAGTGGGACTCCCAGGCCAGGGAACCAGGCCTGGGAGGGGCAGGGAAGCCAAAGCAGAGTCGTGTCTCAGGGAATATAGACTTTCTTTCCCTGATTATTCTAAAGCTGCCCCCGTCTCTCTGTGATGGGTCAGTTCTCGGCTGTCTCACTTCATTTGCTACTGAGCGGGGGATCTTCACGTTCCTTATCTAGCAGCTTTCTCTTTCCCCATTTGTTGCATCTTTAAATTTACGGCCCAGTCCTCTGGGTGGACATCCCTGCATTGAAGCTAAACAGCTGCCCTTCTAATGGGACCATAAATGAAACCACGCTCCATGTCTCCGATCTCCGCCTCCCTTTCCCACCCGAAGGAAACCGGGACCAGCGTTAACAATGTTGTCCTTGGTCCTGGCATGTTTGTTTTTCCTAACGGAATGGGTTACTTTCCCTTGCTCGTCCTTATCTCTGAAGCCTCCCTAAATTTTTCAGAGGTCCCCTCCTGCACTGTCCCTAAAACTGCCTAACAACCCTAGCTTGCCCTGTCTCACGGGGACCCCCTGAGCGCCGGGGCTGCCGACTGGCTCTTGCCCCTGTGTGGCTACCGGGGAGCCAGCGGCTCCCCACTCTGCACCTCCCGGTGGGGGGCCCTGGCTCCCCTGCGTTGACTCTTCCCTCGAGCGCGTGGCCGCCTCTCTCTCCTCCGCCGGTGCCCGCAGGCCGGAGGCGACGTTTCATTTTCCCAAAGTAGGTTTGAGCCTGAGGCCTCTTTTAACGTGATTCTCCTCTAAGGTCAGTTCACTTCAAGAATGTTTCTCGTGGAAACGGAAGCAGTGGAGCCGTTAGAGCCTTCAGGTCCGGACGGAGCCGGAGCTGGTTACTGGACCGACCTGCTGCCGCCTCGCGCCGGCCTCTCGGGGGTGCGGCCGGGCCCCGTCCCCGGGCGGCGGGCTGAGGCTTCCGCAGCCTCCTTTCTGTCGTCTTTGTTCGCGTTGTTTTTACTCGTTTTAAAAATATGTTTCCAGAATTATACTTAATTGCTGGAAACGTTGATTTTTCTTGAGTGACAAACCAATTAAGTGTGTATGACACCAGGCAACAAAGACACTTAAGATTCTCTGCTTGTCCTGTCTCTGGAAAAATCCATTATTCATCATCTTATTGTTTTTAAATAGTGAGGTAAAATTTTCAATACAATAGGAAAATTGCTTTGGAATGGAATGAATTGCTTGCCAGTTCAGAGGCCCTTTCTGAAGTCGCGGCCGGGGAGCGGGCTGCTCACCGTCATTATCCTGCAGACTCTGCTCCCCCAGCACCGCGCTTGACGGGCTGGTGACTTGCTAAGATGCAGCACAATCGCCGAGAGAACGTAATGAAAGAGAGTAAAAATCCCGCTTTCTGCTATATTATATTTCAGCGGTTTTTGAATTTCAATCACATTCTGTATAAATATTCATTTTCTGGTTGGCTGTCTTAAGAGGCGTAATCTTACACAGAGAAGTAAGGAAAAAGGAATTTTTATCAGGAAAAATACTCTGCTTTAGGTCGGTTATTTTATAGATCGTGTCATTTTTTTTTTGTCTAGACCAACGGTCATGACAAGTGCTGATTGCTGGGCTGTTCTGTGTGATGGCGATAGTGATTGCAACTATTTGTAGAAGGTTCTACAAAGAGGCTAAAATGAGTGTCCTTTGATCTGGTGGAGCAGGTGGCTCGAAATAGAGGTGGGTTCAGCACCACCGCCCCCCCCCCCCCCTCACCTGTATTTTCTTTTAATATTTATTTTCCTTTATGCACACAAGAGCTGGGGTGCAGGCCAGAGGTGCGGGCTTGAGAGGACTCCCCAGAGACAGAGTGGGGAACAGGTGAGCCACTGAAATCCACTGCTGAGGGGGCAGCAGGGAGACAGGAGAGGTCTGCTGCGCCCTGTAGGTAGCTCCCTGGCTGGGGATCGAACTCAGGCCTTGGTGGCTGCCAGTAGCCTCATAGTGCTGAGACCCAACCCCTGTGCTGCCAGGGAGGCCCCTTGTCGCGTGTCTTTTCTCCTGTCAGTTGCTGAGAGGAGTCAAGGCCTCCCGGTGCCCTTGTGCTTCCGTCTGCGGCTGGACCCGGGCAGCCTTCCGAGGCGTTGGCGCTGGTCGGGGTGGGACTCGCGGCGTGGCCCTCTCCTCCTGCCTCGGCCCCCTCGCCTGCGGGCTGTGCTCTCCCTGCCTCGAGGCGCAGCCTTGCTTCCTCTGCACGCTCAGCTTCCCAGCTCTGCCTCCGGGCTTTGCATGTCATATGCCCATGACATTACATTTAATTAGTTGTCATTATTTTTATTTCTTCTAGAGGGGTTTTTTGCCCTCTAGGTGACAAGTGCTGATGTCTGGAGCCGTCTTGGCTGGCCCGGCTGGGGTGTTGGGGCCCCACTGGCACCTGGGGCTGGGGCCCCACCCCGCCCGCCCAGAGAATCCCCGAGGCCCCGCTCTGTAGGCTGCCCAGCCCTGTCCACCGGGTACCCCTGCCATGCGCCTGGGCCCTGCCGCACGCGCTGTGCAGGCCCTGGCACTGCTCTCTCCTCACCCCTGAGCTCTGGCCTCCGGCTGGTGACCTTTTCTCACCCTGGGACTGGGCATGTGTAGCGTCTTCTGAGCAGACCGGCGGTGCCAACCGGGTTCCCATCTGCGCATCCAGACGACCCTTTTGCCACCCTGGATCCCTGGGCCGACGGCCCTTCGCTGTCAGGGCTCCCCACGCGGCCTCCCCCGCCTCGTCCCTCCCCACAGCCCGGCCGCAGGGTCAGCCCGGCGCTACCGCGCTGTCACCGGCTCTGCTCCCGGCTGACGGCCGCGCGCTGGGCGTCTCCTGCGGCCTCCTGTCCCGGGTCGGAGCCGCCTCTGTCAGTGACTTAGTCTCTCAGCAGCTCTGGGACGGTCTTACCCACTGTTGCTTGAAATATTTTTCTGTCCTAATCCGCTTTTCTAGGATCCCAGGGTTGTGAACGTCAGACCTTTGCTTCGAGTCTCTTCTGTTCCTTTCTGTAATACTCGTCCGTGTCTCACGGGGTGTGGTCCTGCTGGCTGCTCTCAGCCACCCGCTGTCTGTTTCATGACGCGATTATCACTTGTCGAGGGTCTTCCTTGCTCTCGAGCCCGGCTCTATCCCCGTCTGCGCGTGGACGAGCTTGGGGCACACCCATGAGGCCTCGGGGATTATCTCGTGGCCTCTGGGTCTCACCAGCCTCCTGCAGATGCTGCGTGTGCTTGGTCATGGCACCCTTGAACTGGCAGGTTGGGGCCGCAGGCTCCCTCAGCCCCGTGCGGGCGGCGCCTCCAGGCCCAGCCTGCTCCCGGCTTTGTTCTCTGCACCTGCCGGGAGGGGAGGGGAGGGCCCGCCCGCACCCGCGTCCCCGGCTCAGAGCCCCGTCTGAGCTGCAGCTGCCGGGTGCTCGCGGCCTGCGCAGCACGTTGGGAACGAGGCGCAGCCACACCAGGGCAGGGGGAGGGGAGCTGGGCGGTTCTGCCCACCCTGCAGCAGACCCTGCGTGCCCATCTCCACCGCGTGTGATTCTGACTGGTGGGTGGGAAGCTGGTGGAACGTCTCCCCCTTCCGCCAGCGTGTCACACGCGGTGTCGGGGTGACCGGGAAGCCCACTGCTCTGCTCCTGCTGCGGGTCGTGATGTTCTCGAGGGGGCGGCGGGCGGGCGGACCGTGGTGCTGACCTTCCCGTCAGGATGGAGCTGCGGGGAGGCCCCGCAGAGCATCGCCGGTTCCGCCTGCGGAGCAGCTGCCGGCGGGGCGGGTCGCGGGATGGCTAGCTCGAGGCCGTGAGGGGGGCGCCCCACGGCCGTGTGACAGCGCCTACCTGGCGCAGAGCCCTCGCAGTGCCGCGCACGGCTTCCTGCCTCAGCCTACTCTTCTTGCCTCCACAGGTTCCGGCTCGAAGAGGAGTCAGCCCACTTGGATGAAATGCCGCTCATGATGTCTGAAGAAGGCTTCGAGAACGACGAGAGTGACTATCACACGCTGCCACGGGCGAGGGTCGCCCACAGGAGACGCGGCCTGGAGTGGCTCGTCTGTGGGGGCTGGAGGTCCCTCTGTGCCAGGTTCGTCACCGCCCCCGAGTGCGCCATGTGTGATCCGGGAGCTCAGCTTCTGGCGGGGGGCGGGGGGGGGGGGGAGGTGACCCAGATGGCGTGGAGCAGGCCGAACCGCAAGATGGCTATGCGGCCATTTGATGTTTGGAAGCGGAGAAAATATGCGATTTGCCATCAGTGCGTGAGAGAGCTTGTTCCGGCTGCTCCGAGCTCCTGTGCTGGGCGCCGCGGCAGCCCCGGGCGGCGGCTGTGTCGGGTCTGATGGCAGCACCGGCCCTGGGAAGAGGCACCGCCAAGTGAGTGGGCCCCCGAGCGGGAGGAGGCCCCTGCGAGTGGTAGGCGTGAGCTGACGGCCTACAGGTGGGTCTCCTCACCATGATGGGGGCGCCCGGGGGGTCCCTCGTGTCGGGGGCGCTGCACTTCTGCCAGCAGCCGGCCCAGGACCCAGGATGCGGTCGCAGCACCGACCCTGCCTGGAGGGAGCACGTCAGATTCTCGCGCTCCTGGGGCATCCCCTTGTCTTGTTGCCCGGGGCCACATGCTCCTGCCCGCCAGGAAGGGGGTGACCATGGAGTGCAGGTGTCCGGTGTCCTGCGCGCTCCCTTTGGGAGTTTGCAGCGAGGCTTTCTTTTAAGAATTATTCCCTTAGTGTAAGATTTTAATTTTTATTTCTTTATGCACACAAGGACCGGGGCGCAGGCCAGAGGTGGGGGTGAGAGGACTCCCCAGAGACAGAGTGGGGAGCAGAGAGTCATTGCTGTGGGGTGCAGCGGGGATACTGGAGAGGCCTGCGGCGCCCTGTGGGCTGCTCCCTGGCCGGTGTCACACTAAGGCCGCTTTGCTGTGGAGGCCCTCGAGGAGGTGCTGAGACTCAGCCCCTAGGCTGCCAGCGAGGCTGCCCCAGAGAGATGTTTTTATAACTGATTTGATTTCTGGGTCAGCTTGTGAGGGGGTCCAGCAGCATGGGGTGGGCTTGGGCTCCCGAGAAGTCCCTCAGGGGTGGACATCAGAGGCTGGGAGCCGAGGCGGAGAAGCTTCCTGCCTCCAGCCCCTGTCGGCCTGAGCTAAGGCGCTCTCATCTCTCGTGTACGGAGCCTTTCATAGGAAGAGGGGACTCGTGGTCAGTGACTCGGCAGTTGCAGAATTGTGATACAGATTTAATAACTGTTTTGAAAGTATTTTCTAGTTTATTTCTTTTTTTAAAATTTATTTATTTTTATACAAGAGCTGGGGTACAGGCCAGATGCGCAGGAGGGTGAGAGGATTCCCCGGAGACAGAGCGGGGAGCAGGACAGGCAGATCCACTGAAACCCACTGCTGAGGGGAGCAGCGGGGAGACAGGAGAGGTCTGCTGCGCCGTGTGAGTCAGCTCCCTGGCCAGGGATCGAACTTGTACTGCAGAGGCTGCGGACAGCTTCACAGCGCTGCACTCAACCGGCTGCGCCACCAGGGAGGCCCAGTATTTTCTAGTTTAAATAGCTTTTCTGGAGTGTTCTTTGGGGCACGTAGTCAATGCTAGAATTAGTTTTTTAGCAGATTGTTTTTGCTTTTGTGTCCGTTGCGTTTCGTGCTTTTCAAGGAATTTATCTTTTCAGTTTTTAATTACAATTTTATTGATTTACGGTTACTTCCCATAGTTTTTGCTGTTAGAGGACGGTAGGTTTGGTTCGCTGTGGGAAGTGTGGACGGACTCCAGGAGCAGCTCGCCGCCCGGCCGAGTCCCGGTGCCAGCGTGGTCGCCCCATCCTTATCCCCACCCCGCTCTCTGCCTGCCTCTTGGCAACTGTTGTTTTTTTTTTTTTTGCAGTCTAAGAATTATTTTTGTTGTGATTTGTTAGTTCGTTTGCTTCTGTTTTCTCGCGTTTTCGGCGTAACTGCCGCAGGCGGCGTGTTCTTGCACCAGGTGCGACTCACCTCTGCCCCAGCCTGTCCTGTTGCCGGGCACCGCCTGCCAGGCATCCGGGTGGCTGCTGGGGGGCACCTGGCCGGCTGCTGTGAACAGGGTCTGGGAAGTAAAGATGCTCTGTCCAGGTTCACGGACTGTGGCCCCCACACATCCTTGGAAAGCTGCTGGTCTTCAGCTTCCCCAGGAGCAGGCCTGTCCGCACTGCCGGGGCGGGGCTCGGTGGCCGGGGCGGGGCGGGGCGCTGAGGCAGAGGTGTTCAGCGCGCGCAGAGGCGCTACCTGGGAAAGCTCTTGGTTATTTTCTTCCACAGACGTCACTTTGGTCCTCCTCACTCGTCATTATTTGCCGCATATTTTACTCGCATTACTTTGCCCTCAAAAGTTGCCCATAATTTTTTACCCGTCTGCTCTGCGCCCATGGTAAGCGTTCTCGTTCCTTCGGGCGCTCAAGCCCGTGACTCCCTTTCTGCCTGCATGTCCGTCGGCGGTTCCAGTGGCGCCCCGGCCCGTCTCTGAGCCTCACGCCTGCGCTTCCTGGCGTGGTGGCCGGTCTGTGGTGGGTGGAAGCCCCCGGGCTGCCACCCTCCGTTTCCCTGGGCGCGCAGCAGCGGAAAGTCTGGTCGAGGTCTACACAGGCTGAGAGAGAAAATATTAATAAACTGTTGGACATTTGTGCTTTCGGCCTCGGTGTAAGTTTAGGGTTCACTGAGTGTGAGGCGGGGCCCACGTGGGGCGTGGTGCTGCCGGTGGGAGCCTCGCCCACGGAGGAGGTATGGACTTGGCGTGGACGCTGGCCCTGGCATGACCCTGGCCCTCATGTCCCCGACGGCGGCCGGGCAGCAGCGCGCACAGTGCAGGCGGTCACAGGGCGCGCCCCGGCCTTCCCTACCGGAGAGGTCCTGAGCGCAGCCCAGGCTGGGCAGGCATTCCCAGGGGCACCGACACCTACGCTCGGCCTGGGGCCTGACAGGGCCTGGGTACAGGGCTTGCCCAGGGAGGTCAGAGGCAGCGTGAAGGTGGTGCCCACAGGAGCCACGTCTGGATCTCCATGTCGGCTCCTTCTCAGACAGCCATCACCGCAGGCTCACGCTCACTCCTGAGCTTGCTTTGCCCCGTGAAGTCCGGGTTCCTGCCTTCCGCCCCGACTTGCTGTCCTGGCCGCGACTACAGTAAGAAGGAGAAATTGAACAGCTTCCCTTAATAAGCCGTCCTGCGTCTTTCTACTTTGGAAATTTGAATTGACCGAATTTTTCACCCTGAGGTTTATAAATTCATGATAACGTTATGTCTAATAGACCTAAGTTGTATGCCTTTTAATCATTTTCTGAAGTATTTTAAGTAAAACTGTCCCTCTGGAAACTATCCAGAAATGATGGTTTGGATGTCAAGGAAGGGGACGTGCTAGAGCTGGCGATGTCGGCACCAAGCTAGACTCAGGATTCAGAGCCTCGCTGCGTGGACGGGGCAGCTGCGTGGAGTGTGGTCGGGCCTTTCCTGCCTCCGCTGTGGCCCTTGCCGGTGTCCTTTCAGCGTAGTGAGCTGAGCCATAGTCTTAATTCTGGTTTTGCTGTGACTGGAAATGTCACCTTTTGGAGAGAAAAGGTGGGGCCTGGACTCCCTGGAGTCTCCGAGCCTCCACCGCTGGCCAAATCGGGTGCCAGAGAGCCTCGGGGCCCCACTGAGCGGCGTGGAAAGTCGCCACTAGTGGGGGCGGCACCTTCCTCGGGGCCCAGCTGAGGTGTGTGGGTTTCACTTGCCAGGAAGAGCCCCTCCGCGGGGCTGTGATTCCCCATGTCCTGGGCCTCACAGCACGCACACGTCTCATTCAAATCTAGCTGACGGACCTGTTTTAAGAAAACCCCAACAAATTAGCGTTGGGTGTGTTACCGGGTGTCTGACAAATGTGGATGTGAACAGCTTTTTCTCTGAATTCTAGAACTATTTAAAAGCCTTTTTAGAAAGCACGTGCAATGTGTACATTTTGTTTCATGCAGTTGCTGTGATTGGCTGATGCATATTTGTCAAAGGAAAAGGGAACTGAAGGCTCGCACGGTATGGCTGGGATGTCCCGAGAAGTGTGAAGAAAAGCATCCCGGGAATTCTATAAAAAACCAAAAGTACAACGTATTCACCTTCATCCCCGGGGTAAGACTCCGTTCCTGGGGCCGGGCTGGCCGGGAGGGTGTTGGCTTCGTTCCTGTTTTTGTGTTTCTGAATTTTCACCCATGTTGACCGTGTCGCATCCTTTTGCTTTCGGGCCATCGTGTTCCAGGCTGTTGTCAGCAGTCCACGTGCACATCCGCGTCCGCATAGCTCGGTCGAGGACGACGACCGTGTCACTGCTGCCTGCAGCGCTCGATAAACATATTCATGTCCACATTATAGAAAGAAATAAAGCTAACTAAAATGATCAGAAGCCAAGCCGTAAGTTGCGACCCGCTGGAAAGGTGGAGGGGAAGTTGAAGGTCGTGTCTGCAGCAGTCAGGGAGTGTCATGATGGAAGGGCGAGAACTGTTTGCACAGGCGTGGCATCTGGAAGCGTTTCCAGAGCTCTCCTCTCCTCCCGTACACGTTTCAGGCCTTGACACGTCGTCACGTAATCTTTAATTAGGTGTTAAGCTAAATTTAGCACTGAAATTAAATATGACTTTTGTTGCTAGCGATCGTCCTGGCTTAGATGACAAAGCCAAGCCTGCGTGTATTTAGAATAGTTGAGCCATTTTTGGGCTCTGTGGCTTGTTCCCTCTTCTTCTAGACAGATCTGTCTCTAAAGGCAAAAGCAAGAAGGTACACATTATGTTTCTGCATGAAGATTTTGACCTGCTGCCGGGATTAGCGCACGCATGCTTTTTTACAAGAAAACCCTGACGTGTGAAACAAGGGCCGCTCTGCTCCAGTGTTTTGAGTGACATCAGCGCGATGCCACCCTGGTGCTGCTTCTGCCGCCGTCCCCCGCGGGGCGGCGAGCGCCGGCTCTCGCGCAGGCACCATCCCTGAAACCCCAAACCCCGGGCTCTGCGATTCAAGCACAGATCTTGTGTCAGGACAATAAAACGTAAGCCGTCCTTAGGCAGATAAATATTCTCATCTTTATTGAATGAAGCTCCTGTTTTCCTCTCAGGTTTGAATTATTAAACGCGCTCAGATTGGCTCAGCACTGTGCGTTTTCCTGAAGGTCGCCGGTGCATTAGGCAGACGGGGAAGTATTGATTCAGTGTCTGAGGCCGGCAGTGCCGCTCAGCTCTGCCCCAAGCAGCCCGCACCGCCTGCCCACACCGCGGAGCCCTCAACATACCTGTTGGTGTGTCTCTGCAACTATCACCCCCTGGATGAATTTTTTCTTAGATTGTCTCTTAAATTAGTCTTTTCATCTAAAACGTAGTATTTTAGAAACATTTGGTAATTGCACAGTAGGAATTCTATGCCATTTTTAGCACGAATGGCAATTTCTGAATTGCTAATAGATATAATTTATGCTAACTGAGATTTTAAAGAAATCACTGAGGAAAAAGAGAGCTTTCTCTCCTGCTGAGATTAATTTATGAAATGATTCAAAACATTTTTAGACAGCAATTGAACATGATTATGAATATAAACGTGTTATCAATGTAACCGATTTTTCAGTCACACACATAATGTATGATGATGCAGATAACTTTATTATCCACTCTCTAAGTCAACAATAAGTACTTAACCCATTGCTCTGCTCTTGTTAAAATTTCCATACCTTCAGTTGCATAAAAAAAAGCATCAAGGAGATTTTCATTTGCAAGTTTGTAAGTTCCCCTCTCGTTGTAGCGTGCTGCAGACTTATTCTCGTCTACAAACATGAGTATTGTTCCGTTTTGGTTTTCAGTTTAAAAATCTAATCATTTGTTTGTAAATTGAAGTCTATAATATGCTAGATCTTGGGCTTTCTTCTATAAAAGTGATTTTATTTGAATTAAAAATCAAAAACAAAGCCTGCAGGATTTACATTCCTGTAATTTTAATGATTGATGGTATTTATATTTAAAAATATCGTTGAAGATCAGTTATCCAGAGATTAGTAATACATAGCTGTCTGTCTTCCTGAAAATTGGTCTAACATGTACAAATTTGTATAATGTGTCCCTTTTTTTCCTACTCTGAGGGGATGAAATAATTTCAGGAGGTTAGGAAAGCGTGACTGGCTTGCTCTATGCCATTTCAAAAATACATGGTTGCAACCCCTTTTCCATCGTCAGGCTTCCTGGGGTGTCGTCAGACGCGCCTTGGGCGTGTGTGCCTGCTCCGTGCTGACGTGGGAAGCTTTTGCTGCCTCATTTTTTTGACTTACAGAGGATGTGTGTGGCGAACCCAGGAAATCGCACACAAATCAAAAGCTTTTAGAGGATACTTTTAACATAGTTGAAAGTTCTAATTCCCTTTTTAAAAAAATTCTTTCAAATATATCTTGGGGGTGCCTTGGCCGCTCCCTGTGCGGTTCAGTGTTTGGAGAGCCGGTGTCAGAATCGTTACGTTTTGTGTGACTCAGAGGACGGCCTCATCACTGGTGGAAGTGTAGTTACCGTGCTGATTTTGATGACCTAATTGAAGTATTGAAGATTTTCCTTGGAGAAATGTGTTAATTTTTTCTTTTCCTTTGTAGGTTTTGTATGAACAGTTCAAGTTTTTCTTGAACCTCTATTTTCTGGTAGTCTCCTGCTCACAGTTTGTGCCAGCATTGAAAATAGGCTATCTCTACACCTACTGGGCTCCTCTGGTAAAAGAAAAGATTTTTAAAATTAAGTTAAATTAATTATTAAGTATTTATATTATAGTTTTAAGAGTTGAGATAAACTGGTAGAATTTTAAAAACAAAATACTGTCACTGTGTATCATGGAATGTACAAGATTTACAGAGTGCCAGGAGGTCTTTGCTGCTGCAGAGACCAGCCTGTACCTCATGGGTGCCGCGGCCTCCAAAGCCTTCACTGCTGGACCTGCTCTGGGCTCTCCGGACGGCCCGTGGTCCCAGCAGGCCCTCCCCGTGGCCAGCGGTCAGGCCCCACAGCCCCTCAGGGCCGTCCAGGCCATTCTGGACTTGGCGTGTGAACATTTGGAAAAGCAAATGGTGCTCGAATGTTTCTCCTCTGAGCCTAGGCCGTGCGGGTGGTTTGGGGCTGCTTGTGGGCGGCTCCCGGCGGCTTTCTCCCTTCGCCTGGAGAAGCGCACCACGTCCCTCTTGGCCTGCAGGCTCTGGGCAGCCTTGCCGGTGTGGGCCCCCGGAAGCCTGCAGCAGGGCGTCCCTCTGCAAGAGCGGGCCTGGGCGTGCGCACGAGGTGGGCTTGTCTCCACGTGGGGTGGCCTTGAGCAAACGCAAGTGATCCTGAATGTGACACGGTGCAAGGCGAGCCCCGGGGGCAGGGGGTGGACAGCTATGCTGGGCGGGGCGCTGACCTGGCCTCCACCAGCAGGAGAGCTGACGATGGGGTTCGGGGAGCTTAAAGCAGACTCAGCATCTTTATTGGAAGAATTTACCCTCAGGAAATGGTGACTGGGCTCAGACACCCGTGTCTGTCCCTGATGACCAGTCATTTGTGCTTTAGCAGGGGGCCGGGTGACAGGCAGTGTGCAGCGAAGCCCGAAGGGCTCGTGTTCCATGCACGCAGATAGGGTTCGGATACGTGGAGAATGATGCACTGTGTCACCGGTCTTCATTCGCATCCGCCGCCTCTGCGCCGTACTGGCTCCTGGCGGGACAGCCCTCCCCGAAAGGGTTTCTGTCCTGGCGGAGAGAGTGTGGCAGTGGAGCCGTGATGCCAGGTGCCGGCCATAAAGCCCTGAAGACAGGATGAGGGGTAGAGAAGGAGGGGTGGTTTCCAGAGGAAGCCTTTCTGAGGGGCTGGTGTGAGCCTCACCTGAGTGACCGGGGAGGCGGGTGGGCAGGTGCTGCCCAGGGCCAAGAGTGGCAGGTTGGGGAGCCACGGGAGCAGAGGGCCTGGGCTGCAGCGGCTTGGCCTTGGTGGAGCGCAGGGGGTTGGAGGCGCCTGCGTGTTGCAGGTGGACTGCGCTGGAAGGGCTGGGGCCCCGGGGTGCGGGAGAAGGCCACACGGGGGCCTGGGGCTTGGTCGAAATGTAAACCTTTCACTTGTGCATTTATTATGTTTTGTAGTGTTTCATCATTACATTTTGTCTTTTTCCTTTGTTTTCATTAATTTTATGTTTTAAAGCTAATATAAATTGAGGGTGGAAGTAATACGAAATAATAAAAGAATTTTCCCATTTTTGTTAAAGTCTGGTTTTCTCAAGTGCCTTCTTTTATTTTTGTAACAGGGATTTGTCTTGGCTGTTACTATCACCAGGGAAGCGATTGATGAATTCCGGCGCTTTCGGCGAGATAAAGAAGTGAACTCACAGCTCTACAGCAAGCTCACAGTGAGAGGTCAGCGGGCCCCCCAGGCTCATAGTGAGAGGTCAGCAGCCCCCCAGGCTCATAGTGAGAGGTCAGCGCCCCCCCAGGCTCACAGTGAGAGGTCAGCGGGCCCCCAGGCTCACAGCGAGAGGTCAGCGCCCCCCCAGGCTCACAGCGAGAGGTCAGCGGGCCCCCAGGCTCACAGCGAGAGGTCAGCGCCCCCCCAGGCTCACAGCGAGAGGTCAGCGCCCCGCCAGGCTCACAGCGAGAGGTCAGCGGGCCCCCAGGCTCACAGCGAGAGGTCGGCGCCCCCCCAGGCTCACAGCGAGAGGTCAGCGGGCCCCCAGGCTCACAGCGAGAGGTCAGCGCCCCCCCAGGCTCACAGCGAGAGGTCAGCGCCCCGCCAGGCTCACAGCGAGAGGTCAGCAGGCCCCCAGGCTCACAGCGAGAGGTCAGCGCCCCCCAGGCTCACAGCGAGAGGTCAGCGCCCCCCCAGGCTCACAGCGAGAGGTCAGCGCCCCCCCAGGCTCACAGCGAGAGGTCAGCGCCCCCCCAGGCTCACAGCGAGAGGTCAGCGCCCCCCCAGGCTCACAGCGAGAGGTCAGCGCCCCCCAGGCTCACAGCGAGAGGTCAGCGCCCCGCCAGGCTCACAGCGAGAGGTCAGCGGGCCCCCAGGCTCACAGCGAGAGGTCGGCGCCCCCCCAGGCTCACAGCGAGAGGTCAGCGCCCCCCCCAGGCTCACAGCGAGAGGTCAGCGCCCCCTCAGGCGCACAGCGAGAGGTCAGTGGGCCCCCCAGGCGCACAGCGAGAGGTCAGCGGCCCCCAGACTCACAGCAAGAGGTCAGCGGCCCCCAGGCTCACAGCGAGAGGTCAGCGGGCGTCGCCTGCGTGCATGGCTGTGACCGCCGGCTGAGGGCTGTGAGAGCCTTAGGTTTATGTTACTAGCAACTGAGAATTTGTCTTTTTAAAAAAATGGTCCATCGCTGGTACCGTGAGAAATGGCCTCTCCCCATGGGGGCGGCTTCTGTGTGCTGAGTGCCCGTGGGTCTCCCCCCAGAAGAGGCACTGAGGCACCTGCTGGCCCTGCACCCAGCGCCTGGCCTCTGTGGCTCGCCAGTTCACCCTGATGTGGAGTGCGCCGGCCAGGCCGCAGTGACTGTGGAGTGCGAGATGCGGGTCTGCCAGTGTCTGACACCTGCGCCCCTCCTCGCCCCAACGCGGTGTGGGCTCCCGTGGGCGGACACGCTGGAAACGCTGTCTCGAGTGTTCTTTTGAGGAAAAGCCGCTTCCAGATCACTGCGCTGATCTCTGGACGAGGCTTTGCTCGGGACCAACCGCTGTCCTGATGAGCACCGTGGCCAGCACCGGCCTGGTGTCCTGCTCGCTCTTTCCTTCGGAGCCGCTGTTCTAGCAGAATCCTCCACACTTGCTGCTGCTCCTCCCCCTTCCCGTAGGAGCTTCCTGCTGCTATTTGCCTGACTCTCGAGTGGGTGGCAGGGACAGGGGACAGAGATTGGCCTGCTTGTTGGCAGCTTTTGCAAAAACTCCTGATTCGACGGGGCGCTGAGTCACTGCTCCACCTTGGGCCCCACGTCGGTGTCACGCACCTACGCTGCTGCCGAGAGGCGTGCGACCCCAGTGCTGGGTGGCGATCATCCCTTGGCCATGTGACACCCAGTGCCTCAGGTGTCCACAGTGCCCTCTGTAGTCAGGGCATTCTGTGGTCTCGTGAGATTCCAGCCCAGGCCAGTCCTGGACTATGTTGTATTTTTTTGAATTTTTATTTATGTACAGAAGACCTGGGGTGCAGGCCAGAGGTGGGGGGGGGGTAAGAACTCCTCAGAGATAGAGTGGGAAGCAGAGCAGAGCAGGCGAATCCACTGAGACACACTGCTGAGGGGGGAGCAGGGAGACTGGAGAGGTCTAGGGCACCATGTGGGTCACTCCCTGGCTGGGGATGGAACTCAGGCTGCATTGGTAATAGCCTGAGACTGACCCCAGGCCAGCAGGGAGGCCCTCGACTGTGCTTTTAAAGATTCTGCTTGTTCAATGCCAGGGCCTTGCAGACAGGGCTGGGTCAGGCAAGAACACACACCCCATTTGCCCTCTGTGGCCACACCGAGGTGGGTAGGCATGCTCAGGGTGTATCCAGGAGGGCTACAGTGTGTGCTCAGCCCCCGCTGCTGCCACCCCCATCACCAGTATTTCTCTTGGGTCGTCCTCGGGTGCCCTGTGAGCTCAGCCTCTGCGCCGGTCGGGGACTTGCCCTTCTTGCCACGTCGGCGGAGCAAGGGCTGGACACACTTATTTCTGGTCAGCGGGACGGCATTTCCCCTGCGCCGCGTGGCCGTGCCTTGGGGTGCAAGACCTCAGAGCCTGACTGTTCCATGCTCGGCGCGGAGGGATGATGGAGAAAATGCCGGTTTACCACACTGAGGAGTCATGTTGCGTTGCTACACTTGGAACCTCAGTGTGGGCTTAGTCCTGACCTGTCTCCCTGGAGCTCCGGGCGAGAGTGGCTCTGCCTGCGGCTCACATCCTCTGGGCAGGTGTGTGCCGTCAGTGCCGCACGCAGCGATGTGAGGTTCTGGCAGCTCCGTCTTCCTTGGCCACGGAGGGGCACGGGCTCAGTTGGGTGGCGCAGGTCCCCCAGGGTGCGCTGGCGCATCCCCGGTGCCTCCTTTGCTGGGGTGTTTCACGGCCTCCTTGGGAGCTGGCTGGGAGGTGATTCCTTCTAGTGACTGTCTCTTGAAGGAAATTTATTTTAAACCTCTAAGTCTAGCTTGTTTTTGAAGTTATCAGACTGTCATCGGTCAGGTAGAGTGTAACGAGCGCGTCTCCCCGAGCTGATTGTGCATCTTTTGTCTTTAAGGTAAAGTGCGAGTTCAGAGCTCAGACATCCAGGTCGGAGACCTCATCATAGTGGAAAAGGTTCGTACGTTTCCATCTACTTTCGACCTGCACGCGCCCGTGCGCACGCTGGCCCGATGCGGGGAACTGCTGATCTGACGGAATTTGAGATGTTTTGTTTTAAGTCCCTTTCGTAAGGTTTGATGTCGTGGAAGAAAAATTTGGATTTTTGTATATTCTGTTTTGCTGACGTACGGTGCATGTAGGTGACGTCGCCTCTGTCTGATGTAAGGTCTGTAACTGCTTCATGCTGCATCATCAGACTCGTCTCATCGGCCAGAGGGCGTGGGAGTGGGCGCCTGCAGGCCGCTGAGCGCTCCGTCCAGAGCTGCCTTCACAGGCCGACGAGCACGGTCAGCAGGTGTTCCTGGGGCTCAGACATGCAAGAAGGGGAGAGACAGGAGTGATGGGGCAGTGGAAAGAAATCGTGTGGGCCCTGCAGGAGAGGCTGCTGCGGGCTGGAGCCTGCCACAGCTGCCTCCTGGGGGCCCTGCCTGAAGGTGGCTCAGCGGGTCGCCGCTCCTCGATGGGTGTGAGAAGAACCCAACCGTGGGGGAGGCTGGGGCAACGAGCACGAAGCCTCCTGGGTGTTGCCCGCTGGGCCTCTCAGTACCTGAGACGGTGGCCCTCGGGGGCCCTGCCCGGCGGAGTCTCTGCGCGGGGTTGGCACAGGAGCGACTGCGCCCATCTCAGCTTTGTGTCCAGTCGTCTGGCTGCAGAGCTGCCAATTGGACCCAATTGCTCTTGGGGTGGTCTCTGTCTCTGCCCTGCGGGGTGCACCTGCACCCCTCTGTGCACGTCTGCGCGTGTCAGTGGGGACACTGACCAGGGAGGGGCACGTGGTGCACGTGCATGTCTGCCGTGTGCTGTGAGCACGCGCCAGTTCTCCTCTCTGCCTGGGAGCATGGAAGCTTGGCAAGGCCTCCTGGCTCGGCCCTCGGGGCCTTCATGCCCTGCCTCCGCTGCAGTGGGGCTGACGCCAGGCTCACAGCTGGGCTGTTGTGGGCGTAAGGCCTCCCTCCCCCACACACGGGCTCCCCGCAGGCCGTCCTAACACACAGCCTCGCGCCCCACACCAACCCTCTTGGTTCCTGCTTCAGAAACCAACACGTTTGTTCTTTTTTATAGCTGGGTTGAAAGATCATTTATAATAAGCACTTTAAGCAATGTAACGGGTGAGTCTACCACGTTGGAGGATAAGTGATTATCAGGCTTTTCTGCCCTCCCGCCATCAGGATTGATGATGATTATCAGGCTTTTCTGCGGTCCTGCTTGCATGCCTGATGGCGGGCACCTAGCGTGGGGAGTGGGCATGCCTAAGTGAGCGCGCCTGCGCTGAGACTGGGCTCATAAGGCGCCTTATAAGTCCTGGCGAACCAGAATCAGAGAAACCACCAGACGAGAGCAGCACCAGCAGAGCAGCAGAGGCCACGAGAGACACCGGAGAGCCCAGAAAGAGTGAAGACTCGCCAGGGGCAGGCCTCCCGGCCCCCCGACACCCGTGCCTGCCGCATACCTGGTAAAAGCTGAATAAAAGCCACCAAGGGCTCCAGGACTCTCCTTTACAGGTCTGCTTGGGTTGTAGAAATCTGCCCTGTACCCTTCCCGCCACTACACATGTATTTCTTGACCCGGACGAGCACTGCTGGGCTGTGAGGGGTCGGGGCCGCAGGCCAGGGCAGGCACTAGGAGCAGGAGAAAGATACTTGAGGGACCCAGCAGGGACAGTCACAAAATGTGGGCTCGCGGCTCCCGGGTGTCAGCGATCCCCTCAGACGGAGACAGCAAGCGGATGAGGAAGGAGCCGGGCAGGGGAGGGTGGACCCAGCTGCAAGCTGTTCTAGGCAGGCCACGTGGAAGGAGCCAGGGGCTGGAAATGATTTGCCACGTAACCATAGTCGGGAAGAGGGTCTTGATCGACACCCCTGAAGTGCCATTCAGAGCGAAGTCGCCACCGGAAACTGAGGGGGGTTACATCACGGCAGCAGGCTCCTTCGCCAGGCCTGGTGCCCCAGAGTCTGACCCGCACGTGGCCACGACGACCCAACATCGGAGTCCAGGGTGCAAGCCGAGCAGCACAGAGAGGCCTCGTTACAGCAGCAAAGGCTTCACGTCGGCAGTCAGATTCCTCCTGCAGGGGACTGGACAAGAGGAGCAGCGTGAAGCAAGGCACGCAGGGACAGCAAAGAGCGAAGCCACTGCCCTGGGGATAGGGACTCAGACACACAATAATCAGTAAATTGATGCGCCCCAGCATGAGTGCTGGAAAGGCCGGCGTGGTCCCCAAGCTCAGCGTGGACGGCGGCTCCACTGGTGTCCCCAGGGCTGCTGCCACGGAGGACGCGGGGCTCAGCAGCATGGACCACGGCTGACAGTGCGCCATCAGCTCAGGCGTCCAAGAGCCGGTTACGGAGCTGAGCTCATCATCAGAGCCCCCCGAGGTCCAGGTGTTTCCACCGAAGAATTCCCAGAAACCTTTAAAGAGAACAGCGTCATTTCACATGGAAGCTCCTGGGAACTAGTTGAGGATGGACCCCTCCCCAGCGCGGGTGGGGAGCCCAGGGTTATCCTTACACGGACCCCGGAAAGACACTGCAGCAAAGGAAAGCTGAAACCTCGAGAAGGCGTTCCAGGTGGCGTCAGTGATACAGCGAGCGGCCCGCGGCACAACCAAAGGAGGTCTTGGCGTGGCTGCTGCCCAGCGCTGTCGTGGCGCCCCGCACACGCCGTGACGCGTGTTCCGGCAGCCCTGCGTCTGGTGGGGCCCATGGGCGCCAAGCTGCAGCAGCCGGTGCAGCGTGTCTCTGTGACGTGCATGGGGTTGTGACCTGGTTTGCAGGCACCCCAGCAGCGCGCACTGTGTCTAGACCGCAGGCCGGGTGGATGTGGCCGTGCGAGCTGAAAAACGGTGGCTCAGGATTCTGAAATTACCCAACGTCAGTGAGCTAAAGAAAAACCACTTGACGGGCCTCCCTGGTGGTGCAAGGGATTAAGTCTTAGCACTATGATGCTGTCCCAGCCTCTGCAGCAGGAGTTCGATCTCTAGCCAGGGAGTGACCCACAGGGCGCAGCAGACCTCTCCTGTCTCCCGGCTGCTCCCCTCAGCAGTGGATTTCAGTGGATCCACCTGTTCTGTTCCCCACTCTGTCTCTGGGGAGTCCTCTCACCCCCCCCCCCCGCACCTCTGGTCTGTACCCCAGCTCTTGTATGCATAAATAAATATTTTTTAAAAATAAAGAAAAAGCACGTGATCATAGATGAATCGGGGAGCATGGTCCTGAGTCAGCACCCACTCGTGATGAAGACGCAGCAGGCCGTCCCAGCGCCGGGCCCTGACGTGACGTTGATCAGGGAGCATCCGTAAAAAGGCGCCAGCTTGGATAACGCCTGGTGCAGAGCCTGACCACTGTCCTTCCCGCCAGCCAGGGGCCGGCAAGGGCGCTGCGCAGCCAGCCCTTCGTCCCCCTGGCACTGCTAGTCTCAGGAAAGCAGAGAAAGAAGAGAAGGGACCGGGAAGGAAGAAACACAGATGTGTCTGCTGGACGTAATAGAGACATGGGGAGGGATCACAAGGCAGCGAGGTCCAGCTCAGACACCAGACCACCCCCGGATGTTGGGCCCATGGCCAGCCAGCGTGCAGGCCCCGCCATGGGGTTGCCCAGGAAAACAGCCTCTCAGGTGTGTCGAAAGTAGCAGTGTGTTCTTGAAGGTGATGAGAGACCTCGGTAGAAACACACCATCTTGGATTGGAGCAATCCACAGTTTATCCAAAACTGAGCTCTAGGTTTGATATAATTACTATCAGAATCTCAGCACGGTTCATTTTTTGTTGTTGTTGTTAAAGACAAAAATCAGCTCATTTTAAACTGATTTGGAAAGGCACAGGCCCTAAAATGGCTAAAACAATCCTGACAGGAGGACTAAAGTGAGAAGAATCGCCCCTCCTGCTGCTGTGGGGCCGCGTGGCCGTGTCGCAGGCCGCTGGCGGGAGGGAGGCGCGGGCGGGCCCAGGTGCGCAAGGTTCTGGACGGTGGCGCAGCGCAGGTGCAGCGGAGGGAGGACAGCAGAGTCCAGCCTCAGAGAAGATAGAACCGTAGTGCGAATGTCTCTCTTTATGTAAACACTAAATCAACATGCATCATGCGTGTGAATATAAAACAGCCTTTCAGGGGGAAAAAGGAGAAATATTCAGAATATAGGGTAGGGAAATAGTTGTTAGAACTCACACCAAAAGCACAATGCATAAGAAAAAGAAGGAATTGCATCTCATCAGAACAGTTGTTCTTTGTGGGGGAAAAAATGTGATGTGATGAATAGAAGCTGTAGACCGGGGGCGCGTTTGTGAGCTGTGCGTGCGCCCGCGGCTGGTGCCTGGAGAGTGGCAAGTCAGCCAGCAGGCCAGAGGCATGGGGAGGCGTCCCCGAGGGGCCCATGGGAACAGGCTCCTGGAGGCGGAGCCCTTGTGCGCTCCGCCCGCAGGAGATGCCGCCGACACAGATGTTGCCACGCGTGGCCGAGGGCCGTGGTGAAAAATGGTGTGAAGCCAAGTCAGCGACGTGGGGAAAGATGCTTGCACGCTCATCTGGGCAGGAGAAGTGACAGTGGACGGCACTGATCATCCAAGCCCTGTGGCAGTCCCGTGGCCTTAGGCGCCCGCGCCAGGCAGACTGTACACAGGCAACCCTGCCTTGTTTCTGATAGTTCCAAATCCGAACAGTTGAGATCCCAGGGGCGATGGCCAGAGACCGTGCAGCCCCCAGGCGGGAGCCGGTCAGGAGCCTCACCCTCGAGTTGCTCGGTGTCAGAGAGGACAACCTAGTGCTTGCCTGGAAGGATCAAGGTCATCTGAGCACCCTAAAAAAAAAAAAAAAAGATAAGGAATGAAATGTAGTGGTCTGGAAATAAAATTAAGAAAATAATTCCATTTGTAATAGATTCAAAAATAGTAAAATACATGAATTGCCATGAATAAAGTTAAAAGAAGCACAAGACATGCACTTTCAAAGTGACGAAGCACCTTGGAGACGTGGCGGGAGACGTGGCCAGGGCAGGACGTCGCTCCTCGGGGATTAGAAGTGCCAGGTGAAGTGGGTTCGTCTCTTCCCTGGCGCGGACCTGGAGCTGCGGGTCCCTCCACGCGCTGGCTTTGCGCCGCCGCCACCCAGCAGCCCCTGGCGTTCGTGCGGACACTCGAGGGCCACGGGAGCCACAGAAGGTTTTAAGCAGATGCGCGAAACTGGAGTGCTTGCACCCCTCCATTTCCAGGCCTCCCGCACAACTGCTGTCATCAAGAGCGTGGAATCAGTCGAGTGTGAGTGTGGAAACGGCCTTGTGTAAATGTTGGTTGACTTTCTACAAGAAGGGCTGGGGTGTCTCAGCAGGTGCTTATTTGGGCCCCGATGCTCTGTAGGAGGCCCTTCCCCCTTTGCGTGCAGTGTTCGGCCTTCCTTCTGCTGGCCCAAAGTAGGCCTCTGTCCACCCACAGCCGGCAGCTTTGTGGGCGGCTCTGTTTGCCCCCCGGATGACTCCTGTCTGCGCGCGCGCGCGCGTGTGTGTGTGTGTGTGTGTGTGTGGACACGACGCAGTCTGGCGTGCGCCTGCTGCGCTGGAGCACGTGCCGCCACGGGCCTGCAGAGATGCCCTGAGCTGCCGCTGGTCAGCGGGGCAGGGGGCCAGCGCAGCCCATCCTCGCACGGGGCCACTGCGGGTCAGCACGAGTCCAGCCTGGCCGGGCCTCCCCTCCCCGCACGCGAGCTTGCTCTTGGGGCGGGAGGGAAGAGCCGGCTGAGATCTCTGCTGCGGTTGTCCGGCGTCTCCTCGTCCTCGCTGGTCTCCGGCCTCTGTTCTGGGAGAGTCCTGCTTCCTCCGCAGACGTCTTTTTCTTCCTGGTGTCCTTGGTTGAATAGAAATTCTTGGTTTTAATGAAATCAACTTCATTCACCTTTCCTTTTTAGTTCTTGTTGGTTTTTCCCCCTTTTTGGTGGCGGGAAGGGTCTGATTTGAGAAATCCTTCTCTCAACGTTGTGAAAATACTGTATGGTTTGTGTTTTAGGGATTTTATTGTTTTGACTTTGACATTTGGGAGTGTCACTCATTTGGGGTGAATTTTTGCATTTTGACCCAAGCGGAGGTCAGGTGTTCTGCCCCTCGCCCCCGGGGAGATCAGGCTCAGCGCACAGCCCGCCCCTCCACACCGCTGGCCACGGCCTCTGGGGCCCCCTGGGCCCGCCCGAGCTTCCGTGTCCGCGGCGCCGCCTCGGCTCAGTCGGTCTCAGTATTTGCTTTTGTGATGTGGGTGACGTGAAGAACGTCCCCGTTCTTCCTGGCCGGGGCGTCACCCTGTGACTGTGAGGGGCGCCTGGTCAGCACCCCCGAGCAGGTGTGACGGTCTGGAGCGGGCCTGCGCGGGTATCACGGTCAGTGCGTGGGCACACGCGTCCTCGCAGGCCTGTGCGCTCCCTGAGTGTGAGCTGTCTCTCTGCGTAGGCTTCGCTTCGTTTTCTCGGTAACAGTTTCGCTTCTTGTCCAGAGGTCTCACTAATCTCATGTTAGTATAAATATATATATTTAAATTTTTTATTTGTAATTATAAGATATTTATATTCTATATTACATATAAAATATGAACTGTAATTAAATTAATAAACAAAGTATATTTATAATTACAGTTGTAAAATACATTTTATTTTATATTATAAATATACACATAAATATTAAAATTATATTAATTTTTTCATATTGTTGAAATGGGTATATCTTGAAAGAGATCTGCTTTCCTGCCGTTGATATGTCTGTTTTCTGTGTCATTAATTTTTTTTAAAGATGTATTTATGCATACAAGAACTGGGGTGTGAGCCGGGGCGGGGTAAGGGTGGGGGGCAGCTGTGTGTGAGAGGACTCCCCAGAGACAGAGCGGGGAGCAGAACAGGTGGATCCACTGAAACACACTGCTGAGGGGAGCAGCGGGGAGACAGGAGAGGTCCGTGGCGCCCTGTGGGGAGCTCCAGAGGCTGCGGACAGCTTCATAGTGCTGAGACTTAACCCCTGTGCCCCCTGGGAGGCCCCTTCTGTGTCATTAATTTTTGCTTTTATATTTGCCTTCGTTTTCCCGCTTGCTTGGGGTTCCTTGATGTTTCTTTTCCCTGCTTTCAAATGGATGGCTGTTTAGTTCTTCGTCTATTTTGAGCATTCTTCTTCTGTTGTATTTATTTCATTGTGTTTCCCCCTTAACCCTCCTGCCTGTGGCTGTGCTCCACACTTCGGTGAGTCAGGTCTTTCTCGCCATCCACTGGGGCAGTCCCGAGTGCCCGTGGCGCTGGCCCGGGCCCCGTGCAGCCTGGCCCTGCTCCTCTCCGCCCGGCGGGCCCACGCGGCCGCAGCTTCCGTGTGTCCCGCTGCGGCTGGCCGGCCGCCGGCCCGGGTCTCCACCCCCATAGCCAGCTCTTCGCTGAGATTGCAAAAAACAGGAAGAGCTCATGAAAGTACGTGTCGTTATTCCTACTAGAACTAGACACGTTTTCCTCTCGTTAGGGGCAGCTTTCCCAGTGGCCAGAAATATTGATAATAACATTTAAATAATGGTGTGAAAAGTGACTTGCGACAGTTTTTCTGTGCCAGCCACTGCCTTTGAGTTTATGCCTTTTCTGCTTTATAAACATTACTTCCTTCAATTACGGGGCTTTGTTTGCTCAGTCATACATTCGTTTACTCGCCAATTCCTGAGAGTTTTGTTTATCTTCTGTTCTGTGCTCGGCGGCAGGGAACAGCTCGCAGGCTAAGGTCTTTAGTCTCGTCTGGAGAACGTGCTGTTTGACAAGGTACAATGAGGCCACAGAAATGTTAGTATTGAGCCGTTTTCAGGAACGGGCAGTTATCAAGTCAGCACTAAAAGCCATTTACATGGTTCATTAATAGGGTAAACATTAATTTTCCGCATAAATTTTAAAGATTAATTCGGCAAATCATTTTATTTTGGTTGGTTGGTTCTTCTATCTGTTTCTGCTTTGGAATGCAATTGTGTTCATTTATAAATCTGCATACAGATAATTAATGTTTAATATTCTTTGCAGAATCAAAGAATTCCATCGGACATGGTATTCCTTAGGACTTCAGAAAAAGCAGGTATTTGTATTTTTATTTACATTCTGAGGTGCTTTGGCCATTTAATTTTCATTTTGGAAGGTAAAAATTAAATTTGTTCATATAAAAATTTCTCTTTGAATGATAATATATCTAGTTCATTAATTTCTAAATCACATTTAACTGTTAATATTTAAAATGATTTTATTGCATATGCTTGGTTAAAGTGCCGGTGTCAGTAGCTGGATGATGCGCTGTGGCTTGGCTGCTGTGTGGCCTCACGTCAGCCCGGCAGACGCGCTTACGTGCAGTCGGACCCGCGCTGGGTGCTGCTCAGACCCAGGCCTGCGCAGGGCATGGGGCCGGAGCGTTTTGCCGGGCTGGTAGAACGGGCCTCACTGGAAGCCGAGGCGCCCCCGCGGAACTGAGTGGGAAGCGGGGGAAGGTGGCGAGGCTGCGGCGTCTGCACGCGGGCAAAGGTCTGCGGGTCAGGAAACCTCACAGCCTGGCTGCCCAGTTGGATTACGCGACCGCAAGGCCTCCCAGCGGCGGGGTGTCCGGCGACGTCCTCGGCGCATCCTGCCTCACGTTCCTGACCGTCCACCAGACAAGCTGTTCTGTGGGAAACTCGGCGTATCCCTCTTTCGTAGGAAGCGCAGCACATTTTTATTGCTTTTGAAGAGCTGCACAATACATCTGTTATCTACAGAAGTATGAAAACTAAAAAGACTGAATTTCAGAGCTGTTGAGCTGATTTTCCCCATTTATAAACGGCATTTTTTCAAAGGGACGTTCTGAGTCATGAGGAAGAAGAACGTTCTTTCACCAGCTTGATGACGGTCACCACCTCCCGAAGGTGCCGTTCCCGGCTCCCCTCGCCTCGCGGTCAGCGGCGTCTTGCTCCGTTCCAGGTTGTTTGGTGGGGCACTCTGTCTTCACAGCTGGCCGGGAAGGGAGCGCGCCTTTTCCAGCCTGTTCTCTGTCTCCTAGGAGACGTGACTGCCCGTTTCCTCTCCGGGGAGAGGGCCAGACTCTCCCCTCAGTGCGGGCAGCACGCGGCTCAATGTCCTCCTCCCTGGAAGGGGCGGTGGGGATGGCTCGGGGCTCTCCTGTCCACCACCAGGCGGCCAGCGCGCCCGCCACGTCACAGGGCTTGGCCTCCGCAACCGCCCGCGGTCGCCCTGTGGCGGCCCCGCGGCCTCCGGTCTGCTCGCCGCCGCCAGCACCTTCTGAGCCCACGGCCGGTCTTTCCTCCCCAGGAGGACGAGGCGGGGAGTAGCCCTCCTCCAGGGTTTCTGAGCAGGCTGAAGAGCTGTTACTGATTGTTGAAATCTGGGGAAGAAGCCGCTCCGCGGCCAGCTGCGCCTGGACTTCTCTCGGAGCTGTTTGTTACCCGTTTTGTTGCTGGTTCGCCCTCACGGTTTCATTCGGATGGTCCGTTTCTCCGTTCAGGTTTGGTTGTCTTCGTGTCTCTTTAGCCGTTGGTCTGGGTTATCTGATTTGTTGGTACATAATTTTCTGTACTTTTTATTTCCTTCTGTTTCTACAATGTTGGCGGGATGTCCCCTTGCTGCTGATTTCAGTAATTGGACTGTTACCGCCTCTTTTCTGCTTTGGATTCAATTTTTTAAATTTTTTTGTAGTTTCTTGTGCTGGGGGTCAGTTACTAATTTGAGCTCTCTCCTGGCATAGCTGCGTGTAGCTGAGCATGTCCCTGTAAGTCCTGCTTTTGCTGTGTCGCAGAAGTTTTGATAATTGTTTTTTGGTTTTGCCTCGCAGAAGTATTTCCTGTGTTCCCTTCGGTGGCTTCTGTGACACGCTGTGTGTTGGTGACAGCGTGCGACTGCCAGTATTTTCGCATTTCCCAAATTTCTTTATTTCTGGTTTCTAATTTCATTCCATTATGTTTGGAGAACATATTTTGTATGATGTCAGGCCTTTCATGTTTATCCAGATTTGTCTTGTGTGGCATAGTCTGCAGAACGATCCATGAGAAAGATCTCTGTCCTGCTGCTGTTGGGTGGGTGTTCTGGTCACCTGCTGGCACTGGTTGGCCTGTGACAAGGTTCAGGTCGTCCACCGGTGTCTCCTCTCTGCCGGGCCTGCTGCCCCGTCCCACCAGCGTGGCAGCTCCCGCCCTGCCGCCACTTAGAGGACCGTGGGTCTCACACACGTCACTTTAATACTGTAGTTTGGAGGTCGTTGCTATCTTTGAGAATTTTAAGAATTAGGACCTTGGGGCCTCCCCGGTGGTGCAGCGGTTGAGCGCTGGGTTGCGAAGCTGCCCGCGGCCTCTGCGGCGCCGGTTCGATCCCCGGCTGCTCCCCGGCCACCGGAGGAGGGTCCCACATGGCGCGCAGACCTCTCCTGCCGCCCGCTGCTCCCCTCAGCAGTGTCCTTCGGTCCTTCTGCCTGCTCCGCTCCCCGCTCTGGCTCTGGTGAATCCTCTCACCCTCCTGAGCTTCTGACTGTACCCAGTGCATGTATAAACAAAACAAACAAACAAGCAAACAAATAAAGAAAAACATGCCTCTATTAAAAAAAAAGAAAAAAAGAATTAGGACCTTGTTCCCCAGAAAAAAGTGCGCACTGTATGCACTGTTTCTCGTGTTCCTGGAAGGTGCCTCGGGAGTCTGAATTTAATTAGCACCTGAATGTAGTTTGTCTGACCTGTTAGATTCTGCAGTTTTACTTTTCCGTCAAATGTAGATGGTGCAAAAACTCACCAATCACGGGTGTGCGGACAGCACACAGCACGCTGCTCCCTGCTGCTTTTCTTCCTCACACCCTGCAGCTTCCCTGTGCTGACAGCCGCGTCCTGGCTGTTTCCCACCAGGTTTTTGTAGCTTTGGAAATTCCATGTTTGACTTAAGAAGTCAAGTTTTTTCAGTACCTCTTTCTCAAGCATCCGTGTGTTTAGATTTTTGTGTGTATATGCTAACATTCTTAATATTGCTGTATCACCTTTCCGTTTTCTTGTTTATTATCGAGAAAACGCGTAATACGTTGTCATAATAACACCTCGAGACCTCAGCAGCGCGGCCCTGCGCGGCGCGTATTGACTGGGTATTAATACAGGGCATCCGGCCGGCTGTCAGCTGATTGTTTAGAATGTAAATGAAGCTCTTGATGGATCTGGTGACGGATGGCTTAAATTCCAATTAATCAATTGCTTCATCAGTTTCTTAATTCAGATCAAATATCTCCTGAATGCACACAATTCTTTCAGTGGTATTAAGAGAAATTAATGCTTTAGAACTAATTTTCATCAATCTCTTATACATGCCAATATCTTTTTCACTTGTCTCCTAAGTGATGACATTATTGTTGAAGTGTTTGGGACACGTGACAATAGCTCAGCTGTCGCTTGGGAGCAGGGCGAGGGCTAGGTAATGGCACTGTACTCACCCACACTCTCTCCCGGCGCTGTTCATCTTGCCACCTGCTTAAAAGTTTCATGCAGTGTCATTAAGTCATATAAATGATTTAGAAATCAAGCTTAATGGCAGACGATCTGGCATCACACATGCAGAGTCAGTGTCTGTCTTCCTCCTGTTGGCAGGTGCTGGGGCCCGTCTCCCGTGGCCCCGGGCCTGGGGCAGCCACGGGCCTGCTAGTGTCCGCGGGCCGCTCGCCGCGCTTGCCGTGTGCTGCGGCTCTTGATCTGGTTGTCACTAGACCTGTCCTTTCCTGTCAACTCTTGTCAATTATACAAAGTAAAATCAAGTATTCATAAGGCGGCTGTAATGGGATATGAGCAGAGCAATCTAATGATTCATTGTTGCTGCCCCGAATCACGCCCGCTGGGGCTCCTTGCTCCCCACATCACTCCCGCCGGGGCTCGCTGTGGGTTACTGGGCAGGCCGCGCCTTTCTTCTGCCCTGCGCTCTGTTCTCCCAGTGCCGTCAGGCGCTGCCTGTTCTGAGGCAAGCAGCGTGGCGTGTGCTTGGCCCTCAGAGGCCGCAGCAGAGGAGCCCACAGCCAGCACATCGAGTTCCTTGGCTCCGTGTTGGAACACGTGGCCACGCACGTGCTGCGGAGCACGCTTCAGCCGTGTCGAAGGGCTGGGCTGTAAAGCGGTGCGCGGCGCGGGTTTCCTCGCGTGCCTTCCTAGTCGGGGCCAGTTTGTCCGAAGTGTCCTTCTTAGAGATCCCTTGACAGTGCCTGGCACAGCCTGTCGACGTGACTGGGCGTGCTTCTCAAAGCGCGTGGCGTCAGGGGACGGGATCGTGGTCTGTCTGGGTAGCAGGTGGTGGAAAGTCTTTCCGCCGCTGTCAGCCTCCTTGTGTCCTGGAAGAGACCTGGCGGCTGGCGCTGCTCCACCCCAGGGCGCAGCCAGGCAGTGGCCCGGCCGGGCCAGAGGGTGCGTGCCACTCGGGTAGGTGCCGGGCAGACAGCGTGTGGCTGGGAGAGGGGAGCTGGGGACGCGTGTCAGCTGAAGGGCGGTGGCGCTGACACGGCCGCTCCCCTTAAGGAAGGGCGCAGAGGCGTGCTGCGGCGCGTCAGCTCTGTGCGCACCCATCCTTACGTGCCCCGGCCCCTCATCCTGATTGAGGAATACCTGGCTGCACGGGGGTGCTGGAGAATGTCCTTCGCAGGCAGGCTCGAGCAGATTTTCCCCCAGCCGCACACAATTCCCCGCTCTGCACCTGAACGCCCGTGACAAGGTGCCGCCCCGTGACGAGGCACTTCAGGGAGTGAGTCCCGAGGAGGCCCCAACCCCTTCCGCCCGCCCAGCTCGCACCAGCGTTCACCAGGCCCCGGCCCCAGCCCCTTCCTGGCGGTGGTGCTCCCTGCACCGGGGGCGTTGCGGTGTCTGCCTCCGCTCAGGGGTGCCTGTATGCTGCAGCCCCACCTGCCCCCACCGTGAGACCACATCTCCAGATTACCAAGTATCCCCGGGGGCAGCATCATGGCTCTGATGTTCTCAGAGCCCTTCTATCTCCAGAGCCATCCTGCAGCTCCCGGCCGTGGGGCTGAGCTGCATGTGCAGGCAGCCTGCCTGGGCCAGCAGCTGGGGGTCAGGCCCATCCCTGCAGCTGGGGTGGGGGGGTGGGGGGTTCTGTTGCCCGAGGCTGGTGGGTTTGGCTGGCGCCCAGGACCTCCATCCTAGGCCAGATAAGAGCCTGCCTGTTTCCTTGTCAGGGGGGCAGAAGTCCCTGGCCCACCTTGCCCCGTCCAGCCAGCTGCAGGGCAGGGTGACACTCGGAGGACCTGCCCATCCTGTCCCAGCATGGCCCAGGGCTCTGTCTGGGAGCCGGACGAAGGGCTTTGCTTCTTCCTCTGTGGACGTGCCGGAAGCTCCTGTCCGAACGTGGAAGTGGGTGGCCTGCATTTGGGGGGGGGGGGCACAACTGCCCTGCTTTGCACATCAGTCAGAACCAGAACCAGGAGCACCTCTGCCCAGCGGGGCCCATGAGCTCACACCCACATGTGCGTGCGCCAGGCCTCTGCTCGCGGGGCCGCATAGACCCGCTGGCAGGGCCCACTGGCCCACCCAGGGCCTCAGTGTCAGTCCTGGACTCACTGTTCCTCCCGGGGCATTTCTGTGACATGGAGTTTAAAAACAATACCCTGCCCGCCCCTCTGGTCTGGAAAGGCCGCACTTACGCCCAAGGCCGTGGCCCCGGAAGCGGGCAGAGAACCTCCCAGCTGCCCAGGCCTGGCCGGGCCTTCCGAACTGAGAGCAGCCTCGGCTGCATGCTCCGTGCCGGGCGCTGGCGGTCCGGGGGCAGCGCTCGAGGGCCCAGGCCTGTGTCTGGCTCCAGGGGCCTGTAGGGCAGGGTCTCCAGGATCCCAGCAAGCCTCAGCAGGCCGTGGTGCTGGCTAGCAGGGCAGCAGGTGGGTGAGTCCTGTTGCCCCGCTGTGGCTGCCCGGAATCGCTCCCTGAGGACTCTCTGAGATGCCCCTGCCCTGGGGCTGGTAGCGCCTGGATCGCAGTGTCCTCAGTGGCTGCGCGTCCTCATCTCTGTCTGTCACTGGCTTCGTGAGGATTGTAAGACGCAAATGGGTCTCAAGGACTCTGAGCACTGGCCCCTGCTTCGTGGGGGCGGCGAGGCCCGCCCAGCACACCCGGGGCCTAAGCTGGCTGCCAGGCTGCTCGGACGTGTGGTGTGAGTGCGCGCCTCCGCCCCCACACACACGTGCACATGCAGGTGCCCCTGCGCCCGCCGCCCTGGGTCTCTGCGTTGCTCCCTGCGTGCCAGACCAGCGCCAGGCACAGGGGCCTGAGCGTCCCCGCCTCGCTGCTCCTCCTGGGGCCGGCGCTGAGACTCCGTCGTGGCGGCCAAGGCCGATGGACTGTGACTGCAGATTCTCGGGCGTCAGGCTTGGGGTGTGAGCAAGGCGGGCCCCCGCTTCTTGCTGGGCCTGTACCCCACGGTGGCTTGCCTGGCCTTTTTCTAGAAGGTTGTTGGTTACGTGCGGACAAGCTCACTTTGTCACCTTCAAAATGAGAATGGGGGTGGAAGCGGCCATGGACCTTCGGCGTGACGCGCTGTCCAGCGGTGGCCTGGGCGCAGGGACACCGCAGACACCCGTGAGGCCGACGCTGTCCGCAGGCGTGCTGGGGCCTGCTCTGGGGCCTCTTGGTGTGCATGTCCGTCCCCACGGGGTGGTGGTGTGCGGACTCTGGGTGCCTGGGCTCGGGATCAACAGTGATGGGTTTTCTTCTCCCCTCCCAGGTTCCTGCTTTATTCGGACGGATCAGCTCGACGGCGAGACAGACTGGAAGCTGAAGGTGGCGGTGAGCTGCACGCAGAGACTGCCGGCCCTGGGGGTGAGCGCTCGCCTGGTGGGGGGCTCCTGGGCCAGTTGTCCTCGAGTCACAGGTGGCTGCCGGGCGGGGGTGACTTCTGTGTGTCTTGCCCCGCTCCCGTGGTTCTGCGTATTCCTCTCGGTGCACCGCGTGGCTTTTCTTCTTTTCACTCCTTTTTCCGTCTTTCTACGTTACTTTTATTTTTAAACGTGCTCGGCTATCTTCAAAATGCAAGATTTTTGCTAAGGATTTCCTCCCCTCTGGGTGCTCAGACGCCGCTGCGGGACGGTCTAGCCTGGCCTGGGGCTGACCCGCCACCCCGCTCCCCCGGGCCGGCGGTGGCCTGTCTGAGAAAGGCTGGCCCGCGAGACTCTAAGCCGAGAGGAGAGAGCTGCCCTCAGGCCTTGCGCTCTGCTCTGGCACCCGCCTGGACGCTGGCGCCGGGTCCACACCCCTGCAGGCCCCCGGCAGCCCCGCCACCCTCTCGCACGGCGTGGGTTGGCGCCAGAGCTGGGCCAGCGCTGGCCGGGTCCCCAGAGGGCGGGGCCCTAGCCTTGGGGGGTGGCCATCGGGTATTTGTTTCTTAAATAGTTTACAAGCTCACCCTGAAGCCCTCTGGCCCGGGAGTTTATTTTGTGGGAAAGGAATTTTGGATTGTGTTTCTTAAATAGAGTTAATCAATTTTCTGTTCCCCGGAAATAATGCGTTTTTCAAGAAGTCTCTGCACTTTGTGTCAGTGCCAGGACCAGCGGTGTCAGATGCGTGACATCCCGTCTTCTTTCTCTTTTCCCCTCGGCGAGTCTCCCTCGGGCCATGCTGGAGAACTGGCTTTGGTGTCACTGATTATCCGATTGTCTGTTCTCTGTGCTCCCGATTCTCTTCTGGGCATTGTTTCCTCCATCCAGCTTAATTCGCTTGGTCTTAATCTTTTCTTTCCCGTCTCAGAGGGCACGGCTGGCCTGGGCCTCTGGAGCCACGCCCTGCCTGCGCCCGCGGCGTCCACGTGGGGCACGCGTGGCGCTTGTGCTGCTGCTCGGCCCTGGTTGGGTGGAGGCACCTCGCTTCTGTGTCAGACAGTGGGGACTTTCCTGAAACTTTGAGTCACGGATCCTGTTAGTTCCCAGAACACGGCCCTCTGCTCCAGCCCTCCCCGGGCACAGCTGGTGCCTGGCGCAGCCCCTCTGGGTGGCCGCAGTGCTCGGGGGTCCAGCGGTGAGAGCTGCCACCTCCCTGGCGGCTTGTCCCTTTCTGCCGTCGGTTGTCAGATGTCTGCCCCAGACCTGCGTCCCCGCCGGGCGGCCCGTGGGTGTGTGTTGAGTCTGTGCCCGGCCCACACAGCCTGCCCGGCCGGCTCTGCTGTGCCCTGGGCACGTGCGGGCCCCACATGCTGACTGCCTGGGCCCGCAGACGCTCTGGGGCTGAGCACCCTGACAGCGTGTGGGTCCGGCCGTGGCGCCAGCGCCTCTCTCGGCGTCTCTGGCGTGGCCGTGGGGGCGCCGCCTTGTCAGTCAGTGTAAGGATGCTTTGTCCTCCCGATTAGGTAGAGACACGAGTTCCAAAACGCTCAGTTACGCAACTCATGTTGATTTTCAGACTTGATGGTCGACACGCTTTCGCAGTGTCTGTCCCAGCGTTCGGCTGACGCACTTCCTGGTAAACAGCATCTGTATTTTGCATGACCATCAGGCCAGAAGGCAGCGTGTCCTGAGGGAGGGACGGTCACTCCTCACACGACACCAGTTTAAGCATGTGGCTTCGCATCCCCGGCGCGTCGCAGGCAGAATCTTTCTTCCCGGAAGCAGCAGCTGTGGCCCCTTGTGGCCCTGTCCGCCGCCCGCACGCCCGGCCCCCGTGGGCCGTCAGGCGAGTGTGTGCCCCTCGTGCCCACGGTCAGTGACCCTGAGAGCGTTCCCTAGGCTTGGGGACACCCCCCCCAAGAGAACAGCCCCCACTTTGTGGCCTCACTCCCGGGGCTCTCTGCGGCCGCCACCCCCCCCCCCCCCCCCCCCAGCCTGGCTACCGGGCGCCCTCGGCTCGAGTTTCTGGCTGTGCGACCAGGCAAGTATATTAACAACAATGAGGTCACAGTAATTTTCAATAAATCATGACTCGCTGATTTATTTCAAAAGATCCATATAGCAGTAAACAATACCATTTACATTTAATTAGTTTTATTGAACAAAAGGCAATTTTATTTGTAATGAACCACATGTTATGATTAAGGATGTATTTTAATGACCTTTAAGTAATGCGAACAAATGTTGCCCTTGACCTAGTAGCAGAGGCTTTCCTGCATTATTGGAGACTTGAGAATGATTTTTAAATTATCATGAAGAGCTTCGAATGACATTCTCATTATTGTGCCATTATTCAGCCGTTTGATGTCTCACAGACTAGATGGAGCGCTGCCCCGCGCGGGTGCGGGCTGCTGCGGCCTCTCCTCCCCCGGCGGGCAGCCTGGCCCGTCTCCACGCCCAGAAATCGCCGCGGGCCTTGGGACACCGGAGCTGGGTGCTCCCCAGGCCCACGGCGCTCGGCCAGGGGCCGCCATTCCGGTGTCTCTGCCCCGGGGACGGGGTCTGCAGCTGAAAGCCGACACCCACCCCCACGTGGGGTTCGTGCCCTCGGGTGGCTCCCACCCACCGCTGTGCCCTGGCGTGTTTGCAGATGCCCCTGGAGGGCATGAGTGGGCCTGGACTGCCCCGTCTGAGGCCCGCTGGCCCCTGCATGCTCTGCTCAGCCCGGGGCCGACGCGCCTGCGCCCCAGATCGCCACGCTGCTCTCCACAGGGCCATTTTGGTGACCCTCTGACAGTCCGGTCATGCCCCTCCCGGGACGTCCAAGGCCCCTTCCTGCTGGAGTGGGCTCTGTGCTCGCGCTGCTGCCCCGCGGGAGAGGCGCAGCTCTTCTCTCTGGGCAACAGGGACAGGGTCCTGGGCCTCACAGGGCAGCTGGCGCCCTCGAGCGCCGCCTCTGGGTGATGCCCTGGCCTGCTCCCAAGAAGGCGCTGCAGGCCCCTACGACCGGCCCCACCCTGGGCTCCATGCAGGAGCCCAGCGCCCAGGCTGGCCGGAGCCGGGTGGGGCGTGTCTTGGGGGCCAGCCCCCTGCGACGCTCGGGTCTTGCCATGCAAGGAGTTGGGCAGAGTGGACCCCGTTTCCGCAGGGCCTCCCGGTGCAAGTGCTGGGGTGATGGCGCTGAGCGGAGACATCTCCGTTTTTGGAGAGATCCCTTATTTCACACTGTTCTTCAGAAAATTGCAAACAACTGTAAAATCTGTTCCTCGCAGATTCTAGAGCATCTGTGAAGTGTGACGCTGGAGACCCGCGACGCGGAGGAGCCGCACAGCGGGCGCGGGCCTGGGGATGGGCTCCCGCCCGGACTGCGCGCTGCCCGCAGAGGGTGTTTCTTGACGGGACGGGCGGGCCATCCGCACCTGCGGCCCTGCAGGAGGCCTGTGCCCGGCTTTCCCGGGAGGGGGGTCCTGGGACGCGGAGGAGACGGGACAGGAGGGCACAGATGGAAACCGAAGACCCGCGTCCAGACAAACGAGGTGTCTGAGGAGCAGAAGAGAGTCACTCACATCTCTAGTGTTTGGAGACACCTGAGAGGGAGTCACGGCCACATGCACGCAGCAGCTGCTGGGGAGGCCGGGAAGGTAGGGGGCAGGGACGCAGAGGGCAGGGACGGCGCTCTGCTGGGAACCAGGCCAGAGCTGGAGACGGTCCCCCGACCCAGGGCCATCCCCGCCCGGCCTCCCCCCATCCCCGCCTGTTCTCCCCGTCTCGGCCCTGTCCGGTCATCAGGCATCGCTCAGGTCCAGCCTCACTTTCAGGGTACCTGGATGTACGCAGAGGTCAGCTGCCTCTCCGCGGGCTTCTCAGCTCCGCATCTCTGCCATGTTGCAGCGGCTGCCGGCAGCGACAGCGAGTACTGCCAGGGACCTCCTGGTGTCACGTGGGGCCTGAGACCGGGTCGGGCACGCCGCCCCCCACCCCCCTACGTGCGCCTGCGCTTCTCAGCATGCGGTGTAGCCACCATGTTGGAGACGGTTTTAACGCTTTGTATTTTAAAGAAATAAAATGAGAAAACGGGATTTTTGTTTCTTTGGTATTTACTGTGACGCTTGCTGTCCTTCCTGAAGACTTGAGTTCCCACCAGGGATCATTTCCCTTCATCTAAAGAACGTCCTTAGCATTTGTTGTCTGCTGGCAGGGAGTTGCTTTCCTTTATCTGAAAATATATTTCACCTGTTTTCTTAAAGGATATTTTTACTAAATATTGAATTCCAGGTTGACAGTTTGCACAGCACGTGAAGTGTTTTGTTCCACTGTCTTCTGCTTCCATTATTTATCATGAGGGGTCAGCATTATTTTGACAGTTTTTCTTTATGTCATATCTGTTTTCTGGGTATTTTAGAGATTTTCTTTTTCTCCATCTTTGATTTTTTTTTTTCTTCTACTCATCTGACTTTGATATTTACAGTTTTTTTTTCACCTGTCTTGGGGTTTTCTGGACTTCTGAATCTGTACATGAATGGCCGTCAACAAATCTGCCATATTTCTAGTCACTTTTTTAAATAGTGTTTCTTTCCCATCTCTCTGCTGACCTCCGAGGAATCCGATTACAAGTGTTGGACCTCTTGATTGTATCCCCGTGACACTGCCTCCAAGTTCACTTTCAAAATCTGTTTTCTCTGTGTGCCCCAGATTTCCTTCTCCCTTGACAGTCTTCTGTTTTATGGCCTCTTCTGTCATCTCCAGTCTCCTGTTAATCAGCCCATCTGTTGAATTTATTTCAGATGTTGGGGGGTTTTTTAATTCTAAAATTTCTGTTTGGTTTTCTTAAATATAGTTTCTCTTTCTGTGCTGTGATTTCCTATTTGCTTATTCTTCATTGGAGTGTTTTTCTTTAAGTCTTTGAGACTTGCAATAACTGCTCTGAAATTCTCTCAATTCTGATGTCTGTTCCTCTCAATATTAGTCTTTATTGATGGAATTCTCTCTTGATTGCAGATTTTGTATTCCTGTTTCTTCCTATGTCCATAAATGTGAGTGAGTGGTGTGTTCATTATTAACGATACATGCATGGTAGCGACTCTGGATTTAGAGATGTTCTTCTGAAGGGTAGTGTTGTGTCGTTGCATCGTTTTAACTGGTGCTTAGCTTGATTGAAGTCAGAGTTACACTGTCACTCCTGCGGTGGGAGAAACTAAGCTCTTGATTCCATCCTGTTGAGCTGCACTGCTTAAAATCTGCCCAGTGTGCATAAGGGTCAGCATGAGGGTCCGCAGAGTTCAGGACCCTCCGGAAACTGCCTTTTCTCTCGCTCTCCAGCTGTCTCCCCTGGCTCTCAAGGGATTCCGCGCCCAGCTCACTCAAGACCTTTGGTTTCTTTCTGTCTGTACATCTATGATTTGCTATCTGAGTTTTAGCAGTCCTGATAAAACATTTTTTATGTAAACACCATATGGCAAACTATTTGGCGGCATCCTCGAGGTTTGAGGGTTTCCTGGACACTTAAGATGCAGGGGGCCTTCCACGCGTGGTCACGACGGTGCACTCTCAGCGTGAGGGCTTGCCTGTGAGTGGGCAGAGGCAGGCGGCGTGTCCCAGCCCCTGGGAGCACCAGGAGCAAGGCCTAGCCGCCTTGACACAGGCCAGAGACTCGCCCTCCTCGGGCCAGAGGCCTCCCTGCTGTTTCATGGGCCCAGGCAGCTTCTCCCTCTGCTCTAGGCGGGAGTCTGGCGTGTCCTCTTCTGGGAGCAGTTCCACGTCTCTTCATTCCGCTGTTAGGCACAGCGTGTCAAACGCCGTTCGTACTCTGCTTGGAAGCAGAGTCTGTCTTGAGTCTGGACCCAGCCTTCCCACTCACCCACTGCCTCCGCGGTGCCTTCTCCCCGCCGTGCCGGTGAGCAGGTGTGGAGGCCTGTGGGAGGGCAGGGCCGGCGCACGTCCTGGACTCAGGACAAGGGCACTGCGCCCCTGACTCTCCACGGCAGGCTCCGGCGTCCTCTCAGCTCGTGACATGTCTCCCCTTTAGTAAAGAGATGGTTAAACTTATTTGTTACATCTGTTCGGCTTTCTGAAAGCTAGTTGAAAATTCTTAAAAATCAACTGCAATATCGGGAAGTAACACTTTTAAAACGTCACCTTACAGAGCTCCCGTCCGTGGCTACAACTCACCCAGTGCCCCCAGGTCCACGTGAATCAAATTGAAGGATGCCGGGCTCGTTCCGCGCAGCCCAGACGTGGCCACTCCCTGACCTTCCCTGGGGGGCTTGCGCCCTGCGTCATGCCCGGCGCTTCCTGTCCACGCGCCGAGTGTTGTTTCCACATTAGACAAGCGCTGGTGGCCGCGGGGTCAGGCTGCCACGTGGGCCGCCAGCCAGAGCCTCGCGCAGGCAGCGCCTTGCACGTCTGGACAGACTCAGGGCTTTTTGTCGCTGTGGGTTCTTTGTGATCTCCTGGCAGAACAGGGGTGCTCCATTGAAAAAGCGGGATTTGTCATAAACGCATTTACGTAACGCAGCTGCTGTTATTTTAATAAAGTTACGTCGCATTTTAGGGCGGAGGAAGACCTCTGCACTCACCCGCCCCGCGCAGCGCTCTCGCCGGGCTTCCTGGCCCCATGCCGCCTCGTGAGCGTGGGCGCTGGGAGCTGCGTGCTCGCGGTGTGGGGAGGCGGTCGGCACGGCCACAGCGCCTGGGCAGCTGCTGGGGCGCACCGCATTCCAAGTCGTCTCCGCCACGTAGGGGGCTGGCACATCACATAAGTCCCACGAAGGCTTGTTGCTCCTAGCCCCTGGGCCTGCTTTCGCGCGTCCTCAGGTGGCCTGGACAGCCTGCCGGTGGCCTGGCCTGGGCACACCCATGGGCAGCAGCCTGCAGGCCCCCGCTGACAGCCACCCTCCGCTGCGGGCAGGTCTCCTCCGGGGTCGGGTCCGAGTTGGCGCACGGTGGGGAGTTGGCGGCACTTCGGAGGATGACCTTTCTTTCACTGGAGTTTGTTATTTGCCAATTGACATTGACTAGTAATCGAAAATTCTCTTGGTTTGAACATGGCTCACTCCAGTGTTCTGTGTTCCAGGACCTCTTTTCTATCAGCGCCTATGTTTATGCCCAGAAGCCACAACTGGATATCCATAGCTTCGAAGGCACGTTTACCAGGGTAAGCTCAATCTTTTGTTAAATACAAATATATTCATTGTGTATATGTTAAAAATAGCAAACTTTATTTTGAAAGAGTAATTAAGGCATCATTTGAGTAATTAAGGCATCATTTGGAAGTGCGTCTGCGGGAGCACAGCAGGTGCGGAGCCCGCCACTACGGCGTGACACCCAGGACGTCAGCGAGCTGGCCCAGGCCGGGGGCGGCCCCGCCTCGTCTGTCTGTCTCCCGAGGGTGCGTGGGCTTGCATAGGGCGCTCCCAGCCTCACCGCGGAGGCCAGGCCCAGCCCCGGGCCCTCATCAGAGATCTGGAGGAGCAAGCGTCTCCTCTGTTCCCACGCATGGTCCTCATGAGGCGCCCCCTGCGTGCGCCACCCTGGCCACCTCACCCTGTGACCCTGGAGGGCGCTCGGCTGAGCCGAGCCCTTGGAGTCTGTGCTGGCTCTTTGTGTCAGGGTTGCCTTGCTTCCCCTGCTGAGCGCGGGGGCGTGCGGGCGAGGCCAGTGAGCAGCGCGGCCTGGGGTGGCCGGCGCGTGTGGCCTGTCACATTGGCGTGGGAGGGCACCGGGCTGGTCCTGATGGTCTTGTCAGAAGAAGGAGAAGCCGTTGTGGGCTCAGCTAGCGAGGACATCGTGATGGTGATCGCAGGAGTCTGCCGCTTCCTGGTCCCTGCAGGCCACGACAGCCACCTCAGTGGTCTGTGCTGCACAGCCTCACACCTGGAGGCCAGCGGGGCGAGCACCGGGCCCAGCTCCCCAACCGGGGGCAGCCAGGAGGGCGGTGGCGGTGGTCCTCACAGCTGGACCCTCGTTCTTGGCTCTCCCGGGGTGAAAGTTGATGAGGCGCACCTGGTGGGGAGCCGCGCTCCCGGGGCTGGTGCTGCAGTGTTCTGGAAGGAAGCCTAGTAGTGACTTGGCCCTGCTGGTGCAGGCGCCGCGGCCCTGGCTGACCAGGAGGAAGGATCAGTGTGGCCTCCTCCTTGGCCTGTGGAGGGCCTCCCACCGATGGCCCCCGGGGGCAGGCGGCTTGGCCGTGGTGTCTCAACGGAGGGCGGCTCCTCTGCCTGCCCATCCTTGGACCGGGACCTACGACCTGTCGGGGCAGCGGCTGCAGAGATGAAGTGAGAAGTGGGCTCAGGGCTGCAGAGCCTGAGGTCCGCGTGCGGCCTTCAGAGCCCCGGATTCCACCACTCCTGCCTCTGCTGCCGGCGGCCGGGCCCTCGGGTGTCTTTCCGCACTGCGGAACGCGTGTGTTTTCATTGTCTTTGGTAAGGTGGAAATTGTCTACACTTGTCACAGCTCCTTCCTGTAGCGAGTGCTTGGTGAACATACGATGTTTCTCGTTCCTTGTTTTGGTCTGACGTGTGTCGTCTGGCACTAGCGTTTCCACGGCTGCGCTCCCTGACTGCGGGGGCATCGTCTCCCGTCCTGCCCCTCCCGTCTGCTGCGTCTTTAAATCTAAGCCGAACCTCGTATCGTGTGTCTCGAGCAACCTTGCCAGTCTTTGTCTTTAGCTGGCGATTTTAATCCGTTCGCAGTAACCGTCAGCTCTGATCAGGAGGTGCTTCCTTCTGTCGTTCTGCTCCGCTCCACGTGCCTGCGCAGCCTGTGAGCCGCCGTCTCCGGCGTCCCTGGCTTCTGCTGTGCCTACTTGCGCTTTGCTAGTGAATGTTTAGATTCTTTCCGCATTTCTTGGTGTGTATGTTTTATAGCTACTTGCGTGTGTGTGGTTGACGTGGGGCTTACTTTCCACATCCTGAAGTTATAATGCTCTAGTCTGAATTTCCTCCAGTTTCAGTCCAGTCACGTGGACCAGCTGCTCTTCTCCAGCCCCGCGCCCGCCCTTGTAGTCGTAGACAGCAGGGAGCTGCGTTTCTGCATCCTCTGTGCCTTAAGACGCAAACTGGTGGTTCTTTTAAGTGCACGAACCACTTAAATGTACGCAGAAAACAGGGTTTGGAGCTGCAAACCAAATTTAAAACGATACCACATTTTAGAGCAACGACATGAATTTCTGTCACGACGTGTCCTCGTCTCCGGTCACGCGGGCGCCCCTGGGCTCTGAGCCTCGCGGCTGGCCTGCGGCTCCTGTTTCTCTCGGCGACGTCTTGACTTCTCTGTGTTTTGAGGGATACTCCTGCCGGATGCAGGTTTGGAGGGGCCGGTCTTCTCCCCGCTGCCCGCCGCCGCCCTCGGGTGTGGCGAGGCTGAGGGCCCTTCCCCGGGGTGAATGCTTCTCTCTCCTGGGAGACTCCTGAGGCGCGCCTCTGCCGGGTCTGCGCGGCGGCCTGCCTGGCGTCGCGTCTGGGGCCGCCGCCCGCCTGCTCGCCGCCGCCCAGCTCCGCGTCTGGGGCGTTCACCCCTCGTTCCCACGGCCTCGGGCCTCGCTCCTGCTCCTCGGCTTTGCTCTCTCGGACGCGGTTGTTTCTGTCACTTCGACTCCGGTCTTCTGGGCTTCCTGCCTGCGCGAGGCCCCTCTGCGGGCGCCAGCGGGCTGGTCCCCGGCCCCCCCGCTCTGGGGTCCTCTGCCCCTGCGCCGGGCTCCTGCTCTGCAGCGGAGTCTGCCTTGTCCACAGGCCTCTTGTTCGGGGCCTTCCCCGCATCCTCCGAGCACCTGTGAGGTTTTGTCGTCAAGTCTTTGGCCACCCCGCTGCCGGGCTTTCTTCCTGACTGCGGGAGTGGGTCGTGTTCTTCTGGCTCCTCGTCGCCCTCTGACTTGTCGTCGAGCACCAGACGTTTAAGTAAAATAATTTGCTAAGTCTCCTCTTCCCTTGGGGTCTGCTAGGTCTGGTCCTTTGATGCGCTCTTTGCTCTTCTGCCTCCTGCAGCCGTGTCTGTGCTGAAGCCCCGCTGCGGGCTGAGCCGGGTCTTCTCGGTCTCTCCTGGGCCCCGGCCCACGTGATCACGACGCCCACGGCTGCGTGTCGGGGCACCCTCGTCTCTGATGCTAGAGGTGGCAGTGCAGCCCCCCCGCCCCCTGGATCTGGGGGACAGGCTCCCTCTTGCCTGCAGCCCAGGAGCTCCCCCAGGATCCGGTGCGCTGCTGCTGCCCTGCACGGGGTGGGCCAGGCCGCTCCTGAGGGGGAGCAGAGCTGGCCCCCAGGGCAGGGTTCCCTGGGGAAGCAGGGCCCTGGGGTGCAGACTAGCCCGGCGGGCAGGCAGGTGGGCGGGGTCCGGGGAGGGCCCTGGCGACCCCGCTGCCGCATCCCCAGGCTCCTGCTCGCTGTCCGCAGCGTCCCTTCCCGTCCTCTGCCTCTCACTGCCCCCAGCTGGCCCCCTGCCAGGCGCGTTCCTGCCACTGTGGGCACCTTCAGTACACGTGATCAGAGCTGCTCATTTGCCCGGTTTTTCTCTTTGTCTCCCTGAACAGGAGGACAGCGACCCGCCCGTGCACGAGTCTCTCGGCGTCGAGAACACACTCTGGGCAAGCACCGTGGTCGCCTCAGGTGAGGACTGGGCCCTGCTCCGGGCGGGCTCCCTCGGGGACGCTCTGTGTGCCCACAGCCTCGGGTCCAGCCACACAGGCCCCTGCCACGTCAGCGTGACCCCTGGCGCCCAGTGGCTTCTGGGAGAGGACAAGCAGGCGCCGCGGGGAGGCAGACGTGTGGCCCAGGTCTCCTTTCCTCATGCTGGGTGACATGACCGACGTCGTCCCCGGCACACGGCTACGCGCCTTCTTCATGGGGGAGCAGAATCCATCCAGAGGTTCCTCTTCCTCGTGGGCTGCTCTCCCAGAGACGGCGCCAGGGCAGGCTCCCGCGCGTCCCGCGCCTGCCCTGTCCCTCCTGGACTACAGGGCCTTGATGGCCGCGCCGGCCGCCTGCCCCTTCCTGCCGGGAGAGCTCAGAGCCAGCAGGACGGCAGGAGCGGTGGGTGGCTCCGCAGGCCCCGCCCCGAGGTTAAATGAGATGCCCGAGGCGGTCGTTTCTGTGCGCACATCGTGCATCGCTGGCTCTTGCCATTCGTGTCAACACTGGTGACTCGTCTTTATTTCAAAGCCTCCCCGAGGCCGCGGCCCTGCCATCTGAGGCCCCGAAGCGCCGCGCTGCGGAGCGTGAGTGGCCGCAGTTTTCCAGGACTGGCCGAGGAGTCTTGTCTCTCTTCAGACGGATGCCGAGTCAGTCTGCCCACGCCCGTGGCCGGAGCCCGGTCTCCAGCAGCTGTGGGCGGGCGCCCCGCGCGTTGTCCCTCGTCGGCGGCCCTCATCGGCCACGCAGGGCAGGGCAGGGGCCGGGCTGACGGGTCTCGCCGTTCCGTCTCCCCCACGACCTTTGACCTTGGCCCCACCCACCCGGGGCCGGGCTCCTCGTCGAACCCGCGCACTGGTCAGTGCCGCCCTCTGTCCGGGAGGGCAAGTCGTCCGCGCGCCTCTCCCGACCGACTCTGGTCACTCAGGCGGTCCAGGGCGCGGCGGACTCCAGAGGCACCTCTCCCGTGGCGAGCCCGGTGGCGCGGGGGCCTGGCCTGTGGCCCGCGAGGGGGCACTCCTGCTCGCCCCCCGGAAGTGTCGCGGGGACGTCCGCGGGGTCTCTGGATCCTAGGACGGTGGAGCTTTCTAGCCAGATCAATTTTTGAGCCTTCTCTGAGACGCTGTTGTTCTGCTAATATTAAAAGTAAATTATTGTTTGTTTCTCTTGCTCTGTTTCTGCTCGTGTAACAGTAGTGTCTGATCTGCTTTCATCAGACTTAATTGGCAAAATTGGAAAAAATTACCGCTCAGGTCAGACGTAGCATTTGCTGCGCCGACAGGATGTGCGGCTGTGGGAAGCGCCACCATGCTGTCAGCGGCACGTGTCTTCCTGTGTCCCCGGGGCAGGCGTGAGGTCGGGAAGGCGGCAGCGCAGAGCAGAGGGGCTGGAGCTCGAGCAGCCTCTCCCTGAGCACCCTGGGGGGCGGCTGTCCCCACCCCTGTCCCCACGGGTCCTGACGGGCCCAGTTGCGCCCTCAGCTGAGGTGCCGCAGGGTGGCCTAGGCCGCGTCCAGCTCTGCAGGGCCTGAGTTTCTGGCACGTGCGGGAAGCTTCGTCTTCCTTCCTGTGCCCCTGCCGCCCCAGACACCGGCCAGCGGGATTGAAGTGGGCGTGGCTGCAGCTCTGGAAAGGCCCGCCTGGCCTTGGGCCCACTCTGGAGAGGGACAACCAGGAGCCTTGCGGCCTGGGGTGCCCCTGATGCTTCATTGTATTTTTACGTCAAGTTGGACAGACCATGAAATGATCGTTTCTTCCTGGCTGCGCTGTCAGGAGTCTAAAGAGATGAGTCGCGTCCAAATTTAAAATCTCGTGGGTCTCGACGGTGCCCGTCTCAGTGTGGCCTGTCAGCAGGCCCCGTGCCCCGGCTCCGGGTGAGGAGCCCCGCGCGGCCCAGCGGGCGTGCAAGACGCCTCCAGACAGCCGCGGGCTGGGCCATGGCGCCGACGCGTCTCCATGAGCGGACGTGTGGCTGCGTCTTCTCGTGCGGCGTGGTCCTGAGGAAGCCGTGCGACGGTCTCCACGGGTGTCTCAGAAGTGGAGGTTAAACTGTGTTGGACTGACCAACGAAGTGTGATGTCAGATGGATTTATGTGACACTAACTTGTATAATACGCTGTCATCAAAGTAATGCAAAGTGTTATCTGCTTGCCTTTGAAGTATCTCTTTAAGGACCACTTTCGTGTTTTGCAGGTACTGTAATAGGTGTTGTCATTTATACTGGAAAAGAGACTCGAAGTGTAATGAACACATCCAATCCCAAAAACAAGGTAGGCTAGACGGGGGGCTGGCTGCCTTGACCCCTCCCCCCCGCAGGACGGTGTGGCCTGAGCGGCCGGGCGCGGCCCCGTGCGTCGCAGCAGCAAATCCTCGGGGCGTGGGGTACGGCGCCCAGTGCTGGGCGACAACAGCCTGAAGTTCTTTTTTTTTTTTTTTTTAAGGATCTATTTATTTATGCACACAAGAGCTGGGGTGCGGGCCAGTGGTGTGGGGGCGGGGGGTGAGAGGATTCACCAGAGACAGAGCAGGGAGCAGAACAGGTGGGTCCACTGAGACACCTGCTGAGGGGAGCAGCGGGGGACAGGCGAGGTCTGCTGCGCCCTGTGGTCACCTCCCTGGCCGGGGACGGGCTCGTGCTGCACAGGCTGCGGACAGCTTCGTGGTGCTGTGCTGAACCCCTCGCACCACCAGGGAGGCCCCAGCCTGGAAGTTCTTTTCCTGATTAACCCGGGTTCGTACGTCTCTTACATTTTCGTTGTTGCACATGTAACTTGTCCCTAATCTGACGGCCGATTGTGGGTCTGTTCAATATATTTATCTTGCAATCTGCCCTCTTCATCTTGCTGGTTCCGTTTTAAAATAAAGGTGTCGGCGCTAACCGTTTGCAGTATTTGATTTGATAGCGTTGTGCTGCCAAACCCTTTCACGTAGGAGGTTTGTTTTAGGTGAAGCGTATTGAAAAGCCGACTCTAGCTGTGAGGACCGCTTGCTTGTGTTCCCGAGTGCCGCGTGCTCCTGTTCTGTTTCTGCGCTTGGTCTCTGTGCCCTCGACGTGCGCGGCAGGTCACAGCGGGGGCGGTGTGCCCGTGGAAGCTGCTTCTGGCGACTCGTCCCCGCTGCGCTGAGGGCCGGGCGGGGCTCCTGGGCGCGGACTCACCTCACCACTCTGGGTGCTGCTGCGACGGAGGGTGGGCCGGCCGGCCGGGCACGCGGGCCTGCCTGGGGGTAGCTTCTGGGAAACTTGGTCTTTTGCAGGGAATTTCACCATAGAACAATGGGAGTGAAATAGTTCTGTGAGGTTTTTTTTTAGGATGAGTTGTTTTTTTTTTCTTTCAGCTGAGTGCCGTCACAAAAGCTAGCGGGGAGACGCAGCTGTCGGGACTTGGGCGACTGCGGCCACGCGTGCCAAGCAGCGTCCTGTCCCCACGCCCTGTCCCCGCGGCCCCCGCATCAGGGCGGCCTCCACTCGAGCCGCGGGGCTCCCAGGGGACACGTGCGCTGGCAGTGGGTGGACAGAGCCGCACGCGTGTCCGTGTGTTCTGGGAAGCACGTGGCGCCGGCGGCAGGCCAGGCTTAGTGCGCAGGCGGTCGCAGGGCCTTGCCCCGACTCGCTGCGCTTCACGCGTCTGCTGGCGTCTGAGGAGCGCCCGCGGTGGTGCACACCCGCCCATCACGACTCCTCCCAGGGCTCCCTGCCACTGTCCTTGCGGCTCCCTCGCGTGCGTCCCCCGGGCGCCATCCCGGGCCCACAGCTATGCGCGCTGCCCCAGGCTGGCTGCAGTTGGGCCGGCGCGTCCCAAGCAGAGGCCCTGTCTGCTGCCATCATGCCAAGTGCATGCGGTGTGAAGGGGCGCTCGCTCCCAGCCCCCCATTGCAGGCGCCCCCCCACCGCTGGCGTTGCCCACTCAGTGTGCCCCCCTTTCCCCTCCCCTCCCCCTCAAGTGTCCCAGGACGGCTACCCCAGAGTCTGCCCTCACTCCTGGGCGGCCCCGGGGCCCATCGCTCTGGCCACGCCTTCCTGGGGTTCCTGCCACGTCCAGAGGCGCTGCCTTCCCACCAGGGCACAGCAGGGGCAGCTCCACAAGGCCACGTGGGAGGGCAACCCCTCGAGACCGGCTTGGTGTGCAGCTCCCACCTCGCTGGCGGCATCGAGTCTGAGTGTTAAATGCCAGTTTATGGGATAAGGCCGGGGGTGCCCCAGCCACGACGGTGGAAACCCACGGGATTCACCACGGGAAGTGCCGGAGCCTGCTGACTGGAAAGACTCTGAACTTGCCCCATGCATGGAGGGGGCGACGGGTCACTGCTCCCCGCTGTGGACACCGCTGTCCGCAGCTGCCTCGCGCTCCTGTCCCGCGCGAACAGACGCTTCAGGTTTCAGGGCAGCGAGTGGGAACAAAAGTGGCCTTCGATCAAAAAAAGTCAGAGCTCCTTCTCACACTTCTGCGTGCCCAGCGAGGCCGGCCTGTCCCGTCGCCTCTGAGCTGCCCAGTGCGTGGGGACGCACCCTGGGCTCAGGCCACATGGGCACGCCTGTCCCCGCCCCCCGGGGGCCTTCCCGAAAGGCGCTTCCACGGCTCCTGTGGGCGCTGCCTGCCCTAGGCCGCGACCAGCGCGGCCCGCAGCCCTGCCAAGCCCAAGGGAGCAGAGGTGCCGTGGCCCTGCCTGAGCTGGGCAGAGCTGAGGTCGACACCAGGCAGCAGGGCACTGGCACCGCCAAGGACCGGCCACCGCCCGAGCTCTCACCCGCACTTGGCTCTAGGGCGCTTGGCTCGGAGAGCAGCAGTGGGTTTATCTAACACGCCAGGGAGACAGGGTCAGTGAGGCCGGTTCCCTCACCCCAAGCAGTGTCCAGTGTTGTGAAGTAAGCAAAAGGCTCCGAGACAGCGTCTCCCACCACGGAGGGCCCGGGGCACGCAGCAGCCAGACCTCCGGGGGAGCCGCCAAGACGCCCCGCGCAGCCCAGCGAGGCCCGCCGGCCTCCCCCCGCGGGGACGGCAGCAGAACCGCTCGGTTCCGGCCCTCGGCCATCCGCACAGCCTCCGACTTGATTCTCCTCTGCGGTGGCTACCGGAGGCCTCTCCGCGTCCTGTGGATCCCACAGCCTCTGGGAGGACACACGGTGGGGCGGGAGTGGCCACCGCCACCATCGCTGGATCCCCAAGAACGCTGGGCCCAGGGCTGCCCCTGCCGCAGCCTCCCTGCCCGCCCGTGCTGTGTCCGCACCTCCTGGGGCTCCCTCGTCCCTGACCCTCCAGGGGCGCCCCTGTGGCAGCTGCTGGCCTCGGCCCAGGCGCAAAGAGCTGCTGCCCAGTGAGTGCCGCTCCTTCCAGCCTGCGGACGGGCGACAGGCTGTTTGTGAAATGGCCGAAAGCTCCTGGGACAAAGGCAGCGCCGCCTGAGGAAAGGATTGAGGAGAGTCGCTGAGGTCGCGGACTAGACGCAGGAAGCTGCGGTTTGAGACGGTCCCTGGGCGGGTTGACTGGGGTCCGGCCTAGCGGCATCTGGGCGCACGAGCACCCCGCACCCTTGTCCCCCACTCATGAGCCCCCCACGGGGCTGCAGGGGAGCTGAGCCGCCCCTCCCCACGCCGGCCGCTGTCCTGCGCCTCGGCAGACGGTTCGGAGAACGCAGCTGCTCGCTCCGTTCCGCCCCCTTCCTCTCTTTAGATTGGCCAGTTCTGCTTTTCCTCTTCGTTTTGACCATTTTGTTCTTCTCTAAGTGCCTTTCAAAGGAACCTTCGGACAGAACAGCGAGGAGAAAAGCAGGGCCGCCCCACCCGAAGCCACTGCTTCTCCGTGGCCATGCCCACACCGCCCGCAGGCCCTTGTGGAGCCGGTGGCCCAGACCCGCCCCAGCTGCGCCTGAGCACTGCCCGCTGCACCACGCCAGAGGGGACCCTCGGGGCCAGGCTCCTGTGGGGTGCTCCTTGTGACCCCGCAGCCCAGCTCTGCACCAGCAAGTCGGGGCTGGAGCTGCAGCCAGCGGGGCAGAAGCCCCTTCGGCTCTTCCACCGTGGCCTTGAGGGGGGTCGTGAAGTCTCACCTGATCACCTTCCCGGTGAGAACACGCAGCCAGCGGCCACGCAGGGGCCCTCGGGCCTTGTCCCTGCACGCAGGCTGAGGACTGGCCGTCTGCTCCGTCAGAAGAACAGTCATAGGCAAGAGCACACCCTGGAGCCCGTGGCAGGGCTGGCGTGCCCGCGGGGCGAGGCCCATAGTGTGAGGTTTTTGTGTTAAAACTTTGAACAAACCAAAAGTTCTGTTACTAAGCAATCACTCTATAATAATATTTGGTGAAAGTTTAAATTATACGGAGTGCAACTTGCATAATGGACTGCTTTATAAAACCTAGCTTGAGACATATTTAATAAGATGATACTTGATTACATTTAAGAGGGAAAAAATTCTCGCAGAAGGTTAAGAAAAATCGATTGTGACAGGTTGCCATTTTCACGCCATTCATAATAATAAGTTGCTCAGAGCAGGAGCATCAAGGCTGAGATGATAATACAAATTGCCTCAGGCAGTTATTGTCCCCGGGGCATATTGATTTGTGTTTCTAATAAAAAGATGCTTTCAGACGTCTCGCTGACAGACAGACGGGGGAGGCGCCATTATGTGCATTAGCGCGGCGGCGCTGCGGCCCGCAGACAATGGGGCCGGGCCGGCCGTGGCCGCGCAGGTGGGAGCGCCAGGGCCGTGTGGGGCTCGCCTCCGTGTCTGCACACAGGACATGCGTCTCGCTCACGCGAAGACGCCGCGGCAGAGCAGCCGTTCTCGTCCTGCCACGCGGCCCCTCCGTCTTTTCAGTGGCTGCTGCGTGGGCACCGAAGAGTTTCAGGTTTCAAGACCTGTTTAAAACTGTGCGGTGCTCCTCACGGGAGAGCCGGCCCTGGGCGCCAGCGCCACAGCCCCTGCGGGTGGAGGCTCGCTCTGCGTGGCCCGCTGATCTTATCATGTTTTTTTTCTAAATTTGTTTTCTAACATTGTCATTCATTTTTGTCCAGTCAAGGGATTCTCCCTCAGGCGAGGCCCTGGCGCTCCCCCACCACCCGCCCGCAGACCACCGTGTTTCAGGGCCCACGGGAGACGGCCGAGGAGAGGGGCAGGGCCCCGCGGCCGCCCCCAGCACCCCCGGTAGAAGCCGTGTGAGCCCAGACACACCTGCAGCTCCGGGACGCGGGAAGGCCAGACGCTCAGTGGGACGAGGCGGTCCCGGTGACGGCGTCCCTTGGAGCCGGGGCTGGCCTGGGCCGGGTCAGCGCCCT